GGATTTAATTTTAAGGTTTAAGAACTGTAATATTAGTTTCAATAAAATTATTTAAAATATTTCACCAAATATGCATTTTTTCCAAAGCCAGCCAAGTTTTATTTTAGAATCTGAGCCTGTGCACATTTGATAACTTATCTGTCTCACCTGTTAGCATGACAGAGCTAAAAGTCTTTAATTTTGTAGGAGACATAGAGATTTCTGGTCTTTTCTTCCATAACAGTGTGCTGTCACCTTGCTCTCTCCTCTGCATTCTTTTAAAATGAAGGTAAAGGGAGGAAAGGTCACCCACTCCCCACTTTGATCTCTTATCTCTCTCTTAAACATTGCCTTCAGGTATCTGTTTCACCCATTTGAAGACCAGAGGGAAGTGGATTCTAGGTGGACTTTTATTTTTCTAAGAAGGGGTTTTTGAATTGGCAGATGCCTATAATCTGACTGCTTTCTACATAAATAAAGAAAAAGTGGACCTCTAAGAAGGCTAAGGGTTAGAGTTTCCAAAACAGATGAGTTTTACTGTGTTCTGATCAAGAACTTGAGTTCTCAGAAACAATCCATGCTTTGTTTGCTAAACAAGTCTGCTGAACATCATGTTCTTTTCTGGGAAGAATTTGGGGGATGGGCTGTGCAGGGCAGGCTACGAAGGAGGTGGAGAGGGAAGGAGAGAAACTTAGGACACTTATAAATCAGAATCAGCCCTTAAAATGTATAGGTCTAAGGCAAGAGTATAAATGGAGGCCCCAGCCCACATATCTAAATGTTTAATTTATAATTAAGCTAACAAACTGTTAAATAAAACACATTCTCGCCTCCTACCTTCACAAATATAGTTTTATGATGACCTCTAGATTCAAATTTATTGAATTCTATCTATATAATCCTCAGACCCCTTGGGATTCTGCACTGGATATGGCTGTGTGTAGGGGAACTGGCTCAGTGGCCCAAATGTCATCTTTATCCATCTCCGACTCTATCCCTCATCCTGCAGGACACACAGCCCACGTGTCCAAGCTCTGTCCACTCCTAGGGCCTATGGGTGCACATACTCATGGGCAGATGGGCCCAGGGAAGAGGCCCACACAAGCACTGAAAACAGATAAGGTGTCATTTGGGTAAGGAATTCCAGGATCCTGCTTATTGTTAGTATGGAGAGAATGCTTCTCTAATGGAAATATAATGTGAACCACATAAGTAATCTTCAATTTTCTGGTAGCCACATTGAGGAAGAGGAAGAAGAAACAGGTGAAATTAATGTTAATAATATAGCTTATTTAATTCAATGTATCAAAATTATCAGTTCTAAAAAATTATTAATAGAGTTTACATTCTTTTTTTTTTTTTTTTTGCGGTACGCGGGCCTCTCACTGCTGTGGCCTCTCCCGTTGCACAGGCTCCGGGCATGCAGGCTCAGCGGCCATGGCTCACGGGCCCAGCCGCTCCGCGGCATGTGGGATCTTCCCGGACCGGAGCACGAACCCGTGTCCCCTGCGTCGGCAGGCGGACTCTCAACCACTGCGCCACCAGGGAAGCCCGAGTTTACATTCTTTTTTGTACTAAGTCTTTGAAATCCAGTGTGTATTTTATAATTAGAGAATATGTCAGTTTTGACTAGCCCCATTTCAGATGCTCGGGAGCCACCTGGGTCTCGTGGTATTTGTACCAAACAGTACAGCTCTAGGCCAAGGGAGCCCAAACTCCTTGTTCTGTAGGGGCACTTGGCCTGTACTTAACTATTTTTTTTCTCTTCCATTCAAGTTTGTCACCTGCCTTTTACTCATTCAACTCACTGCTGCTTGCCTTTCTTCTCAGGAATGGTATGGTCCTAATAAATTTGTTTGCATAGATGAATATACCTTTTATCCCCCTGTTATTGACAAATACTTTTCCAAAAGCCAATGCTTCCACTTTCCATCTTGAGTCATTACTGGAATTGTAATCCTTCTGTTCTCCACTTTCTGAAGTCTTTGTGCTATATTGTTTTGGATAATGTCTAGGGTCTTTTTCCTTCCTAGAGGAACTTTTATTTAAAAAGTTCAGTTTAATTGCATGCATATTTTAAAACTGTGGCCAGTTCTACCAAATGAGGATACAAATCTAGAAGGTAGGGAACTGTTGTTGTTTGGTCTAGAACTTTTATCTATTTCAGGATACAGTTTCCAGAATTAGAAGAAAAAAAAGCATCTAGTTAAATTTGAATTGCAGAAAAAAAAAGAATATATATTTTTTAGCATAAGTATGTCTCATGCAACGTTTGAGACATACTTATACTAAAAAGTTATTTGTTGTTTATTTGAAATACAAATTTAACTGGATGTCCTGTATTTTATCTGGCAACCCTATTTCAAGACTGTTTTACTGTCTCAAAAATTGGGGACCCTAAGCAGCTTTTATTTCTGTGGGTTTAACTGTTGATATTTACTGTGTTAGAAATTTAAACTGAGAAATATTTACATATATAGTAATTCATTTAGAAAAATAATAAACCCCATTCTTGTTAACATATGTATTTTTTATGAAAAATAACTACCTTCTATAACAAGAAAAAATAGGGAGAAGAATGTTATTATTTTATATTGTTGCAACTCTTTTAACGCCTGGCTGAAGTAGAGGATAGTTGGATTCTCAAGTCTCCTTCTGTTTCTAATCAGGTGTGCTCTCACAAAGACATGTACCATCTGGAAATCTCCACTGGACACTTGGGAGAAAATGAGAGTGGCAAAAGTCAAATGACATCTTAGTATTGTTATGAAAATAGTTTTGACCTTGAGAATCTCCTGAAAGGATCTCAAGGACCTCTTCCATGGTCCCCCAACCATGCTTTGAGAACCCCCTGGGCTAGGAATAATAGACCCTCTCATTCTAGCTTGTGTGTTAGATAGATCACAGATAATCAGAATATAGGATAAACATTCTTTGTTTTAAGTAGGACTAATGAGTCAAATCATAAAATACAAAACAAATTTTAAAATGATTATTCACGTTTAGCAGTAATTCTTAAGTTTTGTTTTGTTTTTTACTTTAAAATTACTCTGTCGGCTGCTCTCGCTTTCTGAGATGGCCCACAGTCTGTCTGTGGAGTGTGTTTCTCTCGAAATAAATCCACTTCTTACCTATCAACTTTGTCTCTCACTGAATTGTTTCTGCGCTGAGACATCAAGAACCTGGGCTTCATTAAGTCCTGAAACCAGATACTGAAACCCCCGCCAGGTGGGAGAAGTTAACTCTGCTGCCACAACAGGCAGACCACGGACTGGCTGGAACCAGAAGGTTGATGATGCTGACTCCCACTTACCTCACCACCAACCAGTCAGAAGAAGGTCCATGAGCTGATCACACCCTCCTCTTTGAACCATTACTATAAAACTCCTCACTAACCCCTGCAGGTTGGGACACTCAGTTTTGAAAGCATTAGCCCTCTGTGGCTCCCTTTGCCTGGCAAAGCAATAAAACTATTCTTTTCAATTTCACCCCCACCAAAAATAAATAAATAAAATAAAATTACTCTGTCAAGAAAATAGCTATCAACCTGTCAGATAGGTACATTGTCAGCTTTCTATTTAGAATAAAATTTACGTAGCCATTTAGAACAAAGCTTTACATTTTTTATTATAAACTTCAATAAAGAGGTCACATGACAGTTTCTTTAAAATGCTGATTGGATTGAATTGCGTTTATTTTTAAGATGTGCCTGTTCTAGGCATAGTACACATTGCCTAGTATTTAGGCTTGGCCAGTTTATAAAATAATTAGCATAATGCAATAACTAATCTGATTCTCATCTCAAATAGAAAACGTTCTCGAGGTTGGCAGTGGGCCAAATGTGAGAGTACACAGAGAAGTGCCCTCAAACTTAGAGGTGACTTTTTTTTTTTTTTGCGGTATGCGGGCCTCTCACTGTTACGGCCTCTCCCGTTGCGGGGCACAGGCTCTGGACGCGCAGGCTCAGCGGCCATGGCTCACGGGCCCAGCCACCCTGCGGCATGTGGGATCTTCCCGGACCGGGGCACGAACCCATGTCCCCTGCATCGGCAGGCGGACTCTCAACCACTGCGCCACCAGGGAAGCCCTAGAGGTGACTTCTTGTATTGCTTTAATTGCTTGGACAACTGAGAAAATGAAAGAGCCATTAACAAAAATAGAGCAGGAGGAAGTGCAGGTCTGGGATAAAGATGGTATGTTCGGTTTTGGACTGGAAATGTTGTAGTGTGGGTCAACAGAGAGGAGATGCTGTGTGACAGGGTTAGAGAGAGTTGTCCACAGGGTAGTAAAATGCTTTCCAAGGGAGACAATGTAAAGAGAGAAGAAACAAAGAGCACATCTGTGAGGAGTACCTAACTGTGGGGTAGGAAAGAGGAGATGGGGAAGAAAAAAGAAGAAAAGGAGGAAAGGTTGGAGAGAGCTAGGAAGAGGCTAGGTGAGGAAAGTGTCCTTAGAGTGAGATGAGAAGAGCTCTTCGTGGAAGGGTGTGTGGTTAGCAGGATGGAGACTGAGGAATGGTCATTGGTTCTTCAGTTTGGAACTGCAAAACTGGTACCCTTAGAGAGAGTGTAGTTTTGATTAATTGTGAAGTTTTTGTTATTTCAGGTTTGGATTGGAGAGCAGGGAAGCAGAAAAGTTTTTGACTTGTCTGGGGTAACAGAAATCCTAAATAGCTACATCAGTGTTCTTTTCCTTCCTCTCTGTTGTCATTCACACGGGTGTTAATTAAGCTAGCCAAGGTGAAGCTAAAAAACTCACTCCAGCAAACTCACCGCCTCAAATATTCAACCTTATTTTAGAGTGACGTTTGTTCTTAAATATAATCTTTATATTTTAGGTAAAACGCTGGCCTTAGAGTCTGAAGATGTGCACTCCAGCTCTGCTGCTTGCTTACCCTCTGAGGGCTCCTTTTTCTGCTCAGCTGAATTAGAGTTGGACTAGATTATCTCTAAGGCTATGCCAAAATCATGTGATGTTATGCATCTATGATATTTGTCTTTTCTTTCCTTTTATTATAATAGGTTCAGCAAGTTGAAGAGTCTTAACCTTTCCAATAATCATTTAGGGGGCTTCCCATTAGCAGTCTGCAATATTCCAACCCTGGCCGAGCTGAATGTGTCCTGCAATGCCCTCCGAGCAGTCCCGGCAGCCGTCAGAGATATGCACAAGTATGTACTTCAAACCCTGCTGCAAAGTATCTCTCAGAAACCCTCAGAAGGCTGCATCAGGGTCGCAGCACATGAGATTAGTTAACTTGTTATGTTGGTCATATGTTGGTCCCAAATCAAGAGATCATGCTCTTGTGTAGAGTTCATTTGTTAGCTTCTTTCAGATTCTTGTAAAAAATTAAAATATCCTTGTTTAGAACGAAGACCCCTACAGGTGAATGTGTCTAAATATGGGAGGAGGGGTTACTTTCTCATTTCCTGAGTTATGTTGAATTCTAAGACCTAGAAGTTAATTTTTTAGAATAACAATGAAAGATGGGTATTTGGGCTGATTCACACTGCAGTCAGCTTGTGTTGTTCTCATTTATCCCTATCCAAGTTGGGAAAATTGGTCATAATTTTCGTTTTCAGTAAAAGATTAAGATGTTTATCTCTGATCATTTCTCTCTGGTGTATTATTGCCTCAGGCCCTGTCCTTAGCATTTTGCAAAGAATAGTATATTTTCTTTTTCTGGTAATATGATCTATACTTATGGAACTCGTATGTTAATAATAAAGATGTAAAATTTATACACTCTCTTTCTAATTCTTATGTTTTCTTTAATAGCTTACAGACATTTTTGTTGGATGGAAACTTTCTCCAGACCCTTCCTGCTGCGTTGGAGAACATGCATCAGCTTAGTTATCTTGGTCTTTCTTTCAATGAATTCACTGACATTCCAGAGGTATTGGAGAAACTGACTGCTATGGAGAAGCTGTGCATGTCTGGAAACTGTATGGAGACTCTTAGGCTACAGGCTTTAAGGAAAATGCCTCACATTAAACATGTGGATCTAAGGTAACCATTTTAGAGAAATATATCCCATGTGAGTGGTTGGCTAATATTTGGGGGGTAGGTTATAGCCCTTTTGGTGGCATTCTTCTGTCGAGGCAAGCAGGCTGGTTAGTTACAGTAAGGGCCCGCTTTGCTATTTTTGCCCAGAGGGAAGTATAATGATTGGTAGTAGGGTCTGCTCATGCCTGAAACTTGTTAAAAAATTTTTTTCTCACTGATGAGTGACCACCTATCTTGAAGGTCTTAGTTGGTTTTGCAAGTTTGAGCCCAGTTTTAATTAGCGTGAATCAGTAGGCCCATCGAGTCAGAGAGAGCTGTTTATGGTCAATGAAAACCGTATCAAGAGCCAAGTGTATATTTTTCTCTCTTATTCCTACTTTTCTGTGGCTTGAGGCTAGTTGACACCATGGAGCATCTCTCCTTAATTTTTTTTCCCTTCCTTGGCTTCCTTAATATAATATATTCGTTAAATTAAATTTATTACTGATTGAATTTACTTATTTTAATTTCCTCTCTCTCTCTTTATCCAGATGGGTCTGCCCTTAGTTTACAGTTCTTTACAAAAATGTAAAACTCATAATCTCTTGGTAGGCCCAAGTTTGGCCAGAACCTCCACTCTCACCCCTTGCAAGAACAAGGGAACCTGCATTTTGAATCTGATCACACTAAACTCCAGCTGAAAACACTAACACAATCCTTGCTACATCACAGATGCCCAGTCATCATCCCTTCGTGTGTAAACTTCAGTTTTACTTTCTAATGCACAAAGAACCAATACACAAGGAGGAAGCCATTCTAAATTTCTCTTTTTTTAAGGAAAAACAAGAGCCTGTCATTGGGCTTGAGTTCCTGCAAAGCAACATATTAGGTTTAGGCCTTAATATTAACTTGCCCAATTTGATACTTTTTCAGCCAAACTAACTTTCCCATTAACCAGGGAGTGACGACCACATTAAATCTTGGGCGAGATATTTAATGTCTCTGTGCAGCTGTGTCCTCATCTCTAGATTACAGTTAATAACAGAATCTAACTCATAGAGTTTTGGAAGGAATGGAGTAAATGCCTCACTCTCCCAGCACGTTACATATTGTTGTTATTACCTGCTGAGATCCCGTACTCATGAACCCTGCTCAGCTGTCAGTCTTGGCATCTTTTCACCTCTTTGTTTGATGGTTCTTTCCTTGTTTTACTACCCACTTTCCTCTCTGGTGACAACCCCAGACCCTCACTCAGGCCTGTTCATCAGTATAAAGTAGCATCACCTTTTGCTCCCCTTTCATCTCCATTCTTATGGTTTGGCCGTGGGGAACCCATTCTTTCCAATCCCACAAAGAGTTGATTTGCTTTACCTTTCCTCAGACTAAAGGAATCAAGCCTGCGCACCTGGGGAAGTGTTAGCAATTTGCAGACCTAGAATTCTTAGTTCAGGGAGTTCAAATGGTAATAATTTATCTGACTTTGAGAACTTTTTGGAGTGTGACAGGATAGGGAACTGAACACTTTGTCTTGTTAACTTTCTTTCTAAATTGTTAACGTTATTTGCTTCTGAGTCACTTGGGTTTAGAAAACCTTCATATTCAAGAATTTGAGCCCTTTTTAAATTCAGCCACCCAGAGGTATAACAATGGTCGTTTTGACCTCAGGTAGCAAGCATGAGGGGATTTATAAGTTACCTGGTATGGATAAGAAAGCATCATTTTTCTTGATCTGAATTAGCTTACAAATGAGATCAATCTAATATGTTTGGAAGTAACTTCTTATTAAGAGCTTCGTAAATTCTTCAGATTTCTAGTTCTAATTGGGTCTTTTTTAGATGAGATTAGTTACAGGATATTTAAATACCAGAATAGACTTTTGTACATGTAAATGCTGAATGATCATGAGTAGGTAACTGCTTCCCTTCAGACCACTGAGCTGAGGGGGCAGAAATCGGGTCAGATTTGCTTATAATTCTGCCTTAATATTTTAAACTGAAGCTAGTAGAATGATTTAAGGGGAGTTTCACTTAGTTTCTGTAAGCAGAGGGCTAATTTTATTGATTGAATTTTTATTTCTTCAGATGGAAATATTACATCAGATTAAAAGTAGTCATTTTTCTTTTAATCTTATTCTTTTTCTCATATTCACGTTTTTGAGTCTGATATTATTTCTTCTATGGCATCATTAATAATTTCTCCTCTTCTCTGTCCAAAATGTGGATATTACATCTTTCTCCTTGATCACCTCTCTTTCTTTCTGTTTTGTGCCTTGGTGGTTGGTTCCCTGTACTCACAGGACTTCACCATTTACCTTTCATCTCCATGGTAAATATTCCTCAGTTTTTCTCTAACTCTTATTTCTCTTCTTGGGATTAATTCCACTTCAGCTGCCTGCAGGATAATTTCACCTTGCTTTCTCCTATTGACACACTCACCCAAATTACATGTGAAACAGAGTTTAATTTCTTTCTATTCAACTAGTTCTTTCCCCTGGATTCCTAATTTTGCTGATAGCCACACTGCTCCATTGGTTATCCAGACACAAAATTGTTGACTCTTATTTTCTAGTCTGCCACCAGATCCCGTCAGTCCTCGCGCGCTAGTTTGACTCCTTGCCCCTTCCTTTGCCTTCTCGCTGCTGCTGTTGTCTCCTAGCTGAGCTGTCTGCTGCCATTGTGCAGCCTCTCAAGCAAGCACAGCCTTGCTCAGAGCCTTCAGTTCTCTAGTTCAAGATATTCAAGCTCTCGCATCTGGTTTCAACCCACTAGCCTGTGAATCCCTTGAGGATGAGGTGCTAGCTCAGAACTGCTCAAAGTGTGGTCCTCCAGCCTGTGCTAGCAAACCGACTATTTGCTCCTTTTCTACAATGAGATATGTGTAGAAATTGAGACTTAATATCTTAGAAACACACAGTGACTTGACATTGCCACAATATCCAAGTAGACTCATATAAGCAGACTCACCTCATTGTACAGGGAGTAGACTAGTTTAGGTGTTGGCGAACTTGCAGTGGTGAGCTGCTTGTGCGGTGAGCTGTGTCCTGGTATGTGCATATGACTACACATCTGTGATGGATTAGAAGTTTAGAAAATAGGTCCTCGGGCTTCCCTGGTGGCGCAGTGGTTGAGAATCTGCCTGCCAATGCAGGGGACACGGGTTCGAGCCCTGGTCTGGGAGGATCCCACATGCCGCGGAGTGACTGGGCCCGTGAGCCACAACTACTGAGCCTGCGCATCTGGAGCCTGTGCTCCACAACAAGAGAGGCCGCGATAGTGAGAGGCCCGCGCACCGCAATGAAGACTGGCCCCCACTTGCCGCAACTAGAGAAAGCCCTCGCACAGAAACGAAGACCCAACACAGCCATAAATAAATAAATAAATAAAATTTTAAAAAAAGAAAATAGGTCCTTCACCCGAGATAACTTGAGAAGCACTGATCTTATTTATGTATCCTTGAGTTCCCAGTGTTAGCGCTTAGTAGGCACAGTACTTGATAAATATTAATTGACTAACCCACCTTTGTAGCCATATTCTCACTCCTCTCACATAGCCTGCACTCCTGAGGGACCCCTACACCCATGCATGAAACTCACCTTGTGCTCTTCTCTTCAGTCCGAAGGCCATTCAGCAACTCCTCATGGACGCCTTTCTTTTCCCATTTGCATCTGTTGAATTCCTCCTGCCCTTGGGATTCAGATGAGATGGTTTCTCTTGCATAGCATCTTTTTTGACCATTCTCTGTATTTTACGTCATTTATGACATTTATCACATACTTGTATCTTTATACTTCGTATTTTAAAGCATATCAGGTTCCTCACTAAATTACTAAATCTGTTGACAAGCACCTTACTTTATTCATCTCTTATTGACACAAAGCCATAGGTTATCGTCATCATCATCATCACCATGGCTTTTCCTTGTTCGCAAAGCACCAGCACATACGTTCATTTGATTTTCTCAACTGCCTTGTAGGACAAGGAAGGTGTCATCCCCATTTTACGGGTTAAAATTAGACTTAACGGAGACTTTGGTGACTTGCTCAAGGTCACATATGCAAAGTGTTGAGCAGCAAACTGGAACTAGAACATTTTCATACTGCCAATCAACACATAGTAAATGCTCAGTTAGTACTGATGAAATAAATAAAATGCCTGTGTTAACTGAGGAGATTATTGGAAGAAAATTTTTACCACATCTTGCCTCTTTGAAAGGTCACCCTAAGTAGTTGTATTATTTTGTGAGCCTGAAAACTTTTGATATTTGCATCCTGATAAGACTTGGCAATTTAAAGTGAATAGTGGGACTAACCTCCCTGTTTATAGATTTTCTTTTGTCTCCTCATTAAACCAGCCCTTTAATTACGTTAATGTTAATACAGTGGAGGGGGGTGCAGCGAGGAGATGATAGTGAAGGTAATTTAAAGTGTAGATTAGGGAGAACCTGGGACATTTTTTCAATTCCTGCAGTCTCTTATATCCAAAATTAGATTTGGGTTTTTTTTTCTTTTTATTCTGTGTACATATTCTAGTAATCTAGTGAGCATTTGGAGATAGGCAAATTGCTGGGTTGAGGCCAGTTTTTTAATCTTATAACCTGGAATAGAAAAGAAAAGGAGCAAAAAAAAAAAAAAAGAATCATCTTGGGGACATTTGAAGAGGCAATATGCTCTTCTTGCAGGTTGACAAGTCCTAGCTCTTTGCTGTCTTGTCACTCATCCTTATGTTTCAGTGGCTTTATGATATTGCTATTAAAATTTTAGTTACCCTCATTTTATTTTATTTTCTCAAAGGGCAGAAAAATCACTGCAGAGAAGACTTGCCTTGTTTCTAAGCTCCTGCCTTTGTATTAATACTCTTCTAACCAAGTGCGTGATATCAGCGCTCTGTTGGCTTTGTAATGAGAAGCAGGAGGTTCTCTTGTTTGTTGGTTTGTAAAGGAGTTGGGCGTAGCCTAGCAAGCTAGGAATTGAGATTTTCATCTGTTTTTCTCTACTTTGAAGCTAGATGTGTTTTTGTTATATTGATTGCTAGTCCCCATTACTACTTACATACCTTCTTGGCAGCTCATTCATGGCAACTTTAGTCTATTAGCTAACTACTTCTTATGACTGAGGCTCTGCCAGTTTTTCCCTGTGCCCTGAACTTGTTGATCCCCATTATTGTCCTTTGTTTTATGACTTCTCAGTGAATCCTACATGTCAACTTTCAGTATTTTCTGCACTTTGCTCTTTCAAGTAGTATTTTAAAATTGGAGATAGTTTTGGTAATTAATCTTTGGTCCAGAACCAACTGAAAATTCAGATATATTTGCACACCTGTCTCTGGTGTATATTTGGCTCCCATTCATTATTTTTTTCCAAGTTCACCGATTAATTCTGTCCTTTATGGCGCCGCTCATCTACCTGCTTACTCATCCTCTCTCTTTCCTTAAATATCCATGTAGTTGTAATGTGCTTAATGGGTTATTCTGGGTTTTGTTACTCGTGTTCTTTCAACCAGATTCTTTGGAAATAAACATTCAAATGATTTTTTTCTCTGTTTAAATTAACTAAGGTAAAATCGATATGCATATTTCTCTTCCAGCCTTAATGATCTAAATTGTGTTTCAGATTATATTGTCAAGGTTAAGACCTCATGGAATTGTAGCTAGAAATAGCCAGAGAATCTGGCTAGTTAAGGAAAGTCAGATACTGAGATTAAAGAAATCATGGAGGACTGTGACAGAGTGAGACTTGAGTCCTTCTTGTTAGTCACCATATGAGGGTGTGGCTGTTTATTTATAACATTGCAGTTAATTATAGTGTCTATTTATGTCCTTTTCCTCTCAAGACTGAACCTAATTAGGAAGCTAATAGCAGATGAAGTGGACTTTCTCCCTCACGTCACTCAGCTTGATCTGCGCGACAATAAGCTTCGTGATCTAGATGCTATGGTTTTCAACAACATTGAAGTTTTACACTGTGAAAGGAATCAACTGGTGACATTAAACATCTGTGGCTATTTCCTAAAAGCACTGTATACCTCTTCTAATGGTATGTAACAAAGACCACATCAGACTTTCTCTTTTTTATTTATTTATTTATTTTTGGCTGCGTTGGGTCTTCATTGCTGCGTGCAGGCTCTCTCTAGTTGCAGCGAGCAGGGGCTGCTCTTTGTTGCGGTGTGCGGGCTTCTCATTTCAGTGGCTTCTCTTGTTGCGGAGCACGGGCTCTAGGCGCGCGGGCTCAGTAATTGTGGCTCGCGGGCTCTAGAGCGCAGGCTCAGTAGTTGTGGCTCACGGGCCTAGCTGCTACACGGCATGTGGGGTCTTCCCGGACCAGGGCTCGAACCCGTGTCCCCTGCATTGGCAGACGGATTCTTAACCACTGCGCCACCAGGGAAGTCCCCAGAGTTTCTCTTTGGGTTCCAAGAATTTACTCAGTGCCATCTTCTCTGCCTCACTTTGATTTTTCTTTCCTCATTTAGGAAAATAAGTTTTTCCAATTTTGCTAAGATAAAAATCATAAAAGAAGAATCCTGGTTTGGTATTTAAAGGAATCAAAAAGGAAGATTTTAAAGTTCCTAATTTTTTTTTCTCATATTGTGATATTTAGATAGGTTACTCCCACTTGTGATTTGGCTCTTCTCCTTGAAGGGCAGACGGGGGAAGGTGGTGGGTGATTGGGCTCCCTTGTTAAGATAGTAAATCTGGAGAATGAAAGTGAAAGGGAGGTCTGTTACGACTCCATTCAGGGTCTCAGATTTCCTGCTCCACCAACCAAGGAGCTCACCTTAAGAGACACCCAAATTACATACCCACAGGGATACCACAAAGCAAGAGTCTTACTCATTTAATAAGGTCTCCTCCTTAGAATTTGGAAATCATGGCAGTTCTAAAACAGAAAAGGTCGTATGGGCATATGTTTGCTGAAGTGAAGATTTCCATTCCCTCCCATCAGACAACTGAATGGAAACAAGTATTTACTACTACGTGCTGAACAAATATTTGTCCAGCTGAATGTTTAAAAAAAATGGTATTCATACAGTTAATCTTCCAGATAAAATTTAGCATGCATAACGAGAGGAGTGCCACAGTAAGTGGATAAGAAAGACGTAGGAAAGTAGAATGAGTGATTTATTTCAGTCTCTGAATGAGATCTTGTGATTAAATTAGAAGTTCTTTGTACTTTCCTGTAGTTTCAAAGTTAAACAAATGGATGTATTGTATTTCCTAACCTAAATAAACCATGGAGAATAAAGCACAGGAATGATATTCTACATATAAAAAGAGTCTCTGTGTCACTTGAATGGTAATGTTTTTGTTTTCTGCTTCCTAGAACTTGTCCAACTTGACGTTTACCCAGTTCCGAATTATCTGTCCTACATGGATGTTTCAAGGTAAGAAGGCAAGTCCTAGAGCACTCTGGGGTCTGCTTGAAAATTATTCACATGATTCTGTCTCAACTTCGGCATAAGAACTTTTTCTATATCTTGAAGGTATTCACTAGTGTTGAATACTTATCCTCTGAAAAATGCATGCAACTAGCTGTCAGTTAAAATATGTACTTCATTTGTATACTATAGTTTACACCAGAAGAATCAAGATGTTGATGTGGACACCGGTTTGAATGCCAGGTTTATGCTTGAAAGATTAGTCAGTTGAGGGTTGTATGGCTGGAAGGTCCAGTACTTCTTTAATTATATTAACCATATCTTCATGTCTTTCTCTGAAATGTTGTTAATTTCATTAAAAATATATGTTGTGCTATATAGCTCTTTGATTTTTTGCCTCCGTTTTGTACATACATCGTCTTACTAAGAACTCTTAAAAAGTGCTGGCTGAGACTGCCAAAGTAAGACTTCCATACAGCCTGCTCACTTTTCTCAGCTCATTTGTGAACACCTTTTATACAAATTCACTACTACAGTGTGTCATGTGTACTCTGGTTCCCACAAATATTGTAGTAGACTTTTTCCTGAAGGCCCAAAGCATGTATTTGCACAAATTAGACTTTCATAATCTCAACACACTAAATTAAAACTCACTTTTAACTTAATTCCAAAGGTAACAACCAAGACTTTTCTGAATGACCACAGTACGTGGGAGCATGTGGCCCTGTCAACGTGACAACTGTTAACTCATGTCAGTGTGTAAAATCTGATACAACTGATATGTGATTTGTCAGGTGCAGAATTTGCCTTTAGTCATGAAAGTGCACAAACCTAGATATTTTAATAATATTCTCAATCATAATTATGTCAGAATGTGTCAGAATTTAGCTGATGTGAGAATGATTACAATTAGTTTTATTAGAAATTTATAATTATAAAATCCTTTATGAGTAGTGCTTCATACATTTCCTACTAAATTCATGTCAGACAGTTTTGTTTAATGAATTTTAAGTCAGACATTACCTAAGTTCTTTCTTTTTTTTCTGTCAGCCTTGAATATTATTATCTTCAGCATTTAAATAAGAGTACAGGAGTGGGGTTTACATACATGGGTGCATATAAATATCTTGAACAGATTTATTCCAGAGAATTGGCCATAGAGTGAATCTATTTTTCTTTTATTTATAGTATATAATTGGCAAATGGTTCCCATTGAAACCCCTAAGTGAGACTGAATTGGAGACTCTTATGTCATGCTGGTCCCTGAATTCTGCACTTAAATGCTATTCATCTTGTTTTTAATTCGCATGTCCAGCATCTTTACTGTAATGTGCTCTGCCTAATCCACCTCCCAAACTGTAGGACATTCTCATAGAAAAACCTCTGCTTCCCCTCACATAGCTCTAGGTATTTCACCCTCTCTTGTGTATTTATGTTCTCTAAAGGAACTGAGCTGTTACTCATTATGGTGTTTGCTAGGTTCTTAGAGTTCCTCAAGTTCAAAGTTCTAGGTTATTTTATCACTTAAGAGGAATTTTATTGCTATATGGTGAGGTTGCTTATACTGAAGGGTACTTTCACTCACCTATCTTACTGATATGTTTTAGGGATTAACTACTGTACAATAAAGTAATTAATTGTGTCAATCTGTAGAGCTTCAAAGCCAGAACCGTGTGTACCTATATAAACACTAAACAGAAAATAATGCCTTCTTTTCTATATTTTAGTTGAAAAGTTGATATAATAGCAAAAACTTTTACTCTAATATAATCCTTGTTCCAAGCATCATACTTTTCACAGACTTGTTCATTTGTTTTTAAAGGATTGTAGTCATAACATACATACCATGTTAGATTTTTGTGCCTAGTCATTTCACATATTTTAAAAAGGAGGTAAAAAGCTATGACTGTGACTAAGGATCCATCTGTGACTAAGGAGACATTCAAATATAGTAGATTTATCTAAGACGTGGTCAATTCATTTAACAATTTAAGTTACCATTGGTTTAGTTTACTTGTTTCTGGTAATTATAATTACTATCTAATGCCTAAGTAAATGTTTTCAGGTAATTAATTCTGAACTTAAGGGTCATTGCTGCCATTTCTTTCCATTTGTCTATGGCACTGCTCTCATGGTACCTTCTGGAGTTAGGAAAAATTTTCATGTTAAGGGTAAAAATGCAAATTGGAAAATAAAACTGTTTTATACCATTTGACTATTTACCTTAACTGGAAGTGTGTGTACTTGTGTTTGTTTGTTTGTTTTCCAGTATGAGACATCTTCTCCCTAAGCTTACATGGGTTTATAGACGTTTGGGGATAGTAATTCCGGGAACCAGACTTTTTTTAGGCTTTAGAGATGATGCAGATGATATGACTGTGTTCTTTGCTACTCTGTCTTTATTCCTCATTCCTTACCACAGCTCATCCTGCCTCAGATTGAAGTGAACACACATATCCTTTTGATTTATACTCACTGTAATTGGGCATTTCACTCGAAGTTTTACTGTGCTCTATAATTATTTTGACTTTTGAACCATATTTTAAGCCAAATTCCAATCAAAAAGAATTGTATATTCTTATATTTAGGAACCGTTTAGAAAACGTGCCGGAGTGGGTGTGTGAAAGCCGAAAGCTAGAAGTTTTGGATATTGGCCATAATCAAATATGTGAACTTCCTGCACGGTGAGTATTACAGATTAAGTTAGAGAATCTCAAATTAGATGAGCAATGGAAAAAATTGCTGATTCAGTGTTTAATTTGTTATTATGAACCCCTGAAAGAGTTTGCTCCAAAAACTTATTTAGGGACTTCCCTGGCAGTCCAGTGGTTAAGAGTCTGCACTCCCAATGCAGGGAGCATAAGCTCAATCCTGGTTGGGGAACTAAGATCCCACATGCCACACCGCGTGGCCAAAAAACTAATAATAAAACCTTATTTCGTATTTTTACCTCTCTTGGTACCTTCGAGGCACAATCTTCTATCATGCAGTGGTGGGTAGACCAAGGCTTTGACTCCGAGCCAGGCTTCGCCAAGCCACGTGGCAGCTGATGCTTGGTGGAAGCTTTCAAATAGGCCAAAAGAAATGTGCAGAGACTCAGCAAACAGTATGATTTGTTCACCTCTGTAATCTTAATTCTTTCCGAATCTTTGCCTTCTGTCCATTGTCTTACATGTCTACCTTACCCACAAATAATGTTTGGTTTTATTTGAATGTAACCCTAAAAAAAAAAAGATTATTAGATCATTAAATCAGAAAAAGCAGACTAGATTCTGTTTTTCTTGTGTGAAATTTGGAGTAGAAGGTCAGAGAACTTCTCTTTCCTTCTCTCTCTTAACGTGTTATTATTTTTATTTCATAATATTCACTTTAATGGCAAGATTGTAAAGCAACCACATGATGATATCTGGTATCCATAGATCGAGACAAATATCTTCAAGTTGGCTAATTGTGGCATAAACTATGATTGGACTGTTAGTGACTAGCCATGCAATTAATAACCAGAAGAGTTAGTCTATCCCACTGCTGTCCTGAAGAACTTTCTGTGATGATTGAAATGGTCTGTATCTGTGCTCTTCACTACAGTGTCCACTAGCCACATGTCCACTAGCCACATGTGACTGTTGAAATGTGGACAGTGTGACCAAGGAACTGAATATTAAATTTTATTTAATTTTAATTAATTTAAATTTAAATAGCCACTTGTGCCCAGTGTTTGCCACGACTCAGGTCTAGGTATTTCCACTATTCTCAGCCAGTCGCTGAACAGAGTAAGTCGTTTGTTTGTTTGTTTATTTGTTTATTTATTTATCTTTTTTTTTTTTTTTTTTTTTTTTTTTTTGCGGTACGTGGGCCTCTCACTGCTGTGGCCTCTCCCGTTGCGGAGCACAGGCTCCGGATGCGCAGGCTCAGCGGCCATGGCTCACGGGCCCAGCCGCTCCGCGGCATGTGGGATCTTCCCGGACCGGGGCACGAACCCGTGTCCCCTGCATCGGCAGGCGGACTCTCAACCACTGCGCCACCAGGGAAGCCCTATTTTTAACCATATATAGTAAAAAATATCAATGAAAAATTGTAGAAATATATCACTATTTTGGAGTAAACTTAGATACACGATCTCTAAAGGTTTATGATCGTATGTATTCCTCTGTTCTCTTGTAAAGGACAAGGATCATGAAATACACCTGCTTAGTAAGCCCAATAAATGTGTCAGAGTTCAGCTGTCCACTATGACAGCCAGTAGCCATTAGCTGAGGGGCTTTTGAGCACTTAAAACGTGACTAGTCCTAACTGAGAAGTGTTGAAGTATAAAATATACACTGGATGCAAAATATGTCAATAATATTGTATATTAATTACATGTTAAAATAGTATTTTGGATATATTGGGTCAAATAAAAAGCGTACTGTAAAAACTAATTTACCTGTTTCTTTTCACTTTTTTAAATGTGACTACTAAAAAGTTTTAAATTACGTATGTGGCTTGCATGGTATTTCTGTTGGACAACATTGTGTTGGAGTCTAGCTCTTGTGGAAGAAATCGATTTACATTTTCAGTCCCTGGAAAGCTCAGTTGATTTTACTTTGTTTCTCAGCCATATGTTATACCTGTAAATTCAGTCCATTTGAAAATGCTTTTTGCTTTAGAGTTTTATGTTGAGTGAGCATTTAGGTGACCCAGTATAGCCCGTCACCATTATCAAAAGGACTTTGGTGATGTGCCCCGTGGACAGATGTGTGTGTGTGTGTGTGTGTGTGTGTGTGTGTGTGAAGGAGGGGGAGAGAGAGAAAGACCCTTTTAGAAGACAAACAGCAAAAAAGAAAACAGGCTACTACTACTAATGAGGAAAAATAATTTGTTAAAAAAAAATCTTGTACTGTTATCTTTCTGTCTGTTTTTCTCTTCCCTACTTTGGCCTCCCCAGTTTAACACATATAGCATGTTGGAGTCTAAGGCCTCTGTGTCACTGTACACTACAACAAAGATATTATATAAATAAACCAACAATTAAATAAATACAAGATAACTGATATCTTACCCAGTTTTCCCCAGAGTTAATTAATCTTTGATTTGCTCTGCATTAGTACAGGCTTTTTTGGGATCTAAACAAATGCTTATTCAAAGCAAATCCAAATGCTGTCTTGTCAAAAAATTTAAACAGTGTTTGTTTTTGTGTATGTCTGTGTTTTTAACACATGGGACAAAAACAATACATGTTTTCTCATTTATGGTGTTGTTTAGTTGCAAACTTTGTATCAGCCCTATCATTGATCTAATATCCAGGCCAAGACAGTGATTCGTTAGAAGTTGGTTTAACCTTCAAGCTTTGTTTGTCTAGGTGATGTGTGTGAAGGGTCTGAGAAAACAGAAATTCATGTTTAGCAGTGGAGCTGTACTGAAAGGAAAAGAAGCTATTTTAATTCATAGTATCCAAAAGAATTGAACAAATCCAGTTACTAACATTTATACTCATCCTACAGTTATCAAATCTCCTTTCTTATCTGGAAAAATGAAGATAAAGATTTTGTAACCTGTCTTTCAGTTATCTGTCTGTGTAAGGGTGAAGTGTGTGTGTGTGTGTGTGTGTGTGTGTGAGAGAGAGAGAAATAATCCCATTCTACTCTCTAAGAATTCTAATTTGTATACCAGGCCCAGCAAGACAGTAAAATTGGTGGACCAAATCCTGAATTATTAGGTTGAAGTGAGCGTTACAGAGACTGGGCCCTGTGATAGCTGTGACTGAATGACAGTCCTGGACAGATTGTCTTATTAATATCTAAACCTGCAAAGTCAGGTATATCTTTAATGGGGGCCCATGGTGTCACAGTGTTGAGACAGGTTGCTAGCATCTTTGTGAACAAAGAATCTAGTTTTGGTACTTAAAGTGAATAAAGTTACAGCTGTAATATAGAGTGATTTAAGAACTTCGGATGTCAGTGACGTCAGAATGGTGGGAAACAGGAGGTGGGTGAGGAAGCCTCATTGTTTGACAGCAGTTTAAATGAGTTCTCATTCCAATGTGATCCGGATGCAAATTATAACCTCATTTTCCCACAGTCCCCAGATTTCTATGTTTAACCCAGGACCTGCTTTATTCTCTACGAGGTCTTAGGTGATCATAAAGCAGATTTACATAAGATTAACACATATTCATCGTTTGTTGCAGTTTTGATAACCCATAGAAGAAAAACACAGTCAAGCTTCCCAATAGCTTGTTTGATGCTCAAAAGAAAATACTGCATTGAGTGAGTTATATTCTCTTTAGGAGGGAGAATATAATCCTACTTTGGTCGAGGATTAAACCAAAGAGAAAATAGAAATATACAGATTTAGGGAAGTGAGGAAAGAGAGAGATAATTATTGTGAAATGCAACTGAGGAAAATGTAACGTTTTTTCAGTTGTCATTGGTAAAAGTTTAACTGGACAAAAGAATCCTTACCGAATGTTGACCTTGTAAGTAAAAATTGCTCAACTGTATTTATTCAGATTCTATTGTGGGTAAAACCCCCAGCGTTCCAGGGTGATACCAGATGTAATCCCTGCCTGGGGAAGCCTACAGCCTTTCACAGTTTGCCTTGTGAGTCTAACAAGACTAGGCTGCTGCCTTTGGTGTCTTCTATGAAACTCGTTTTCTTTTTCACTAAGTAGAGCTGCTTTGTTAAATATTCCTTTTCATAGTTTTTCCCACCCTCTTTTTTTTTTTAAGTATGGAAAGTATTGAAGTATGAACAGCTCCAACTTTGAGCTTACGTTACAATGAATTTGCTCTGAATGAATTTAGGTTTCTTAGAGAGATGATTTTAAGTCTTTTCCTACTCCTATTCATTTTGAAAACTTCATCCCAAATGAGCTCTCAGTAAGTTTCCTTCTGTCTTTGTCCTTGTTTGCACAGCTTATTTTGTAATAGTAGTCTCCGGAAACTACTGGCGGGACACAACCAGCTGACAAGGCTTCCCGAAAGGCTAGAAAGAACCTCAGTGGAGGTCTTGGATGTGCAGCACAACCAGCTCCTGGAGCTGCCACCCAACCTTCTGATGAAGGCCGACAGGTAAAGCTGCTGGTTTGTTTTGGTTGTTCATCGACTTGTAAGACGCCCCCTAATTAGCATTCTTTTCTTAGGTGATCTCAGACCATTTAAAGTGGACTTTGTGACTGTCTATCTGTCCTAGATTTATGAAGAAAATGGTATTGCCAGCCACTTCTGTCACCATTTTGTAGGAAATAGAGGCAGGAATATCCTAGAGAGTCTTTCTTAATTTCTCTGCTTCTTTAATTTTGATTCTTTAAGTGGGTTGAGTTGTGCGTAAGCGTGAGCTGTGGAGGTGTCGGTATAAAAACAAGGGTGGGAAGTTTGCTGCCTGGTCAAAACTTGTGCAGCCCGCTCTAGGCTTAGTGTAATTACCTTAGGATTCTCTGTTCTTGCTTTCACATATTTATGACTTTGGGTGACAGAGATAGATTTTCCTAGAGTTTTACTTTTTTTTTTTTTTTTTTTACCAATTGTCTTATCTTTACCACAGGTTTACCCTTGCATTTAAACTATTTTCTTTTTGAACGAAGAGAATTTTTCTAAATAACTTGTTTACTAAGTATTTAAAGAAATTGTTCCCATCCACAGTATAGGAGGGTTCCTTTCTAAGATGTTCAATAAATATTTGTTTAATGAAAGGTAAAAAATTTAAGGAATTTTAAATACTACCCTTGATCTTGGATTTGCATTTTTTTCTTTCTCTCCTTTTCCTTTTTCAAAAAAATCTTTTTATCAAGATGTAACTTACAGTCAAAAAGTGTACAACTCTTGAGCATACTGCTCAGTGAACTTCTACATACATATATACCCCATAACCATCGCCCAGATCAAGATAGAGAACATGTCCAGCATTCCTTTCCTTTTCCTTTGTTTTCCTCATTTTAAAAAAAATTTATTCTCTGTACTTAATGTAAGTTACAATGAATTCCTACTGGTATAATTATTGAGAAGTAATGGAATTGTGGGGAAATCGGATTGTTACATTGTAATTGACTGGTGCTAAGTCATTCCCCTGACAAAAAGAACAATATTTCAAGATAATTTAAAGAATTGTTCTTGCTTTTGCATTCATATCAAAGGACAATGTACAGCCTGTGGGTAGCTCTAGACCTGTTTCTTATTGTTATGAATACTGTAGGATTTGGTTTCTTCCCCTGCGGGAGAATTCTATGTTATGTTGTAGCCTTGTGTTTTCTTTCATAAGGCTAACTAGGGAAAATTTGGGTGCAGTTTTATAATGAGAATCCACTTGTTCTCCTGGGGGATCTACACTGAATCGGTAGAAACCAAAAGGGAGACGGATTCGGGTTTTAGGAGTCTTTGAGTGAGATAAAACCATTTTTGAATCTGAGTCTTATAAGATCATGGCTAGTAGAGTAGGTAAATAGTGCTGGAACTCTCCAATAGATAATAATCATTCTTTATTCATTTCTGAGAATTTTATTTTAAAGGGGCACTTGAATATGTTTTTCATTCTCTAGAGGCGTCCCTAAGCAGTCATTGAGTCTCCCTGGTGCCAGCCAAATCTGACAATGTGTGCCTGAGGTCGCTCACAGTGTGGTCCAGGAGACTGTGTGTTCATGTTCAGATGAGCAGTTGCGAGGGGGCAACTTTAACTTAGATTGTTCCACAGGCAATTCTGCTGACTCCCAGGGTCGAGAACCGCTGCATGGACTGTTGACTTTGTGGCCCTGCGCAGGTTTTCCCTTGTTGTCTATTCTGTACAGTCCCAAATGGAATCTGTATGTTGGAAAAGGGGTGATTGTATGAACTAGAATATTTCTGGTCATGCAGTATGGAAAATTTAGGACCTGAATTGAGCCACTGAAAGGGAACATTGCTATCAAGGAGAGCAGAATAAGCTGAGCCCACAGTGTAAGCTAAAGGCATTTAGGCAGAAATACCCTAGTCTGAATAAATGGGCCTATCCAGAGCCAGCTGCATTTTGGAAAATAGGGGCTGGTGCGGGGGAAGTAGGCAGCCTCTGTAGGTCTTGGGAGGAGGGCAGGCCGTGCCAGATGCCCTTCCAGCACAGGGAGTGCTGGAGTAAGGGGCTGAGTGAATTAGAAAGAGCAAGCATCCTGCTTTTATTTTATGAGAGAAAAGCAAATGACCAAAAGAGGCAGAAGTAAGAAACTTTTCCAAGAAGGCATATTCCAGTGCCTTTGTTTTCCAAGCAATGCAATAACCCCATCTCCAGCCTCGTGTAGCAACTGACCTTGTCATGACTCTGAGTCAGAAAGGTTAAAGAGGTTTGGTTCTCTCAGGCAGATAGGGTCATAAAGAGGGTGGGGTAAAGTCAATGAGATCTTTTTTGAACAACATTCTTGTATTATTTCATTTGTTGGAAGACAAGAAAGATAGAACTTTTTAAAATTGAAATGTAGTTGACTTTTACAATATTATATTAATTTAAGGTAGACAGCATAGTGATTTGCTATTTCTGTAGATTACACATCATACAGAGTTATGATAAAAATATTGACTCTCTTCCCTATGCTTTACCAAACTATTTACTGCTTCTTAAAGGGATAATACTTTTTCTATTTATCCCCTTTCCAAAACCTAAATAACTGAGGTTTTCTCTATCTAAATTTAAAAAAAAATTTTAATCGAGGCATAATTTACATTCAGGAAAATGTAGAGCTACTGTATATTTGGTTTGATTAGCTTGAGGGGAAGGAATAAACTACTACTGACTATTGTGGGAGCAGGTCAACCTAGAAAACATGAAGCTTAAAATATTAAAAGAGGGCTTTTTAGTATTAAAAGAGGGTTTTTTAGGAAAGAATCTTTACAAGCTCTTTGCAGGTGGTTTCAGTTGTGATTTGTTTTCATTTACATGGTTCAGGATGGCCAGTGTCTTACTGACCTTGTAAGTTTAAGTCACTGTGCTGGGTACTGCAGGGGATTGAAAAATGACTAACATCGGTATTACCCTCAAGGAGCTTACAACCTAATGCCGAGCTTAAAATAACTGCATAATAAACTGTAATAAAAGGTGGGGTTGAGAGGGTAAAGGAGAAGGAAAATGATAGGATTGGTTTTAATTTAGGCTCCTGGTATGAAGAACAGCACTTGGTTGTATAATACAGGGCTTTGTGTTTGGCAGATAGCCCCAGGCAGTAATGAAACTGCTTCAATTCTCCTTCCATTCAGTTTGCTCCATAATACAAATCTTACAAAACATATAGATGCTCATTTTTTCTTTTTTCTTTTTTTTTTTTGTGGTAATAAATTATTGTTACCAGTTCTGTGTTTGGTTATATAACTGATGAAAAAGCTTGAATACAAGTCTTCATAAGTTAAAAATGGTTTTGTTTGTTCTCTCAGTAGAACTTGTGCTTGGAAGCTTCATGAGAACTGTCAGAAAAACATGTTTTATTGGACACAGCAAAAGGCTGAACTTAAACTCTCTTTCTAAGGAGATTTCTTTAGCTCTGAATCTTTCTACTAAAACACAGTGTCATGGTTTTGATTATATAATATTGTCTCTGAGATATTACAGCTTTAGAATGGTGTATTTTAATCTGCTTTACCTGGTAGCAGGTAACCAGATAAGAGAGGAGAATCTACTTTAAATTAGATGACTTTTAGTGATATCTTTATCTTCCTCTGAAAACTTCAGACCGATTTTATTAAAATTCTTATGACCTGAATCAACAATTTAAGTTTATGAGTTTACCCTCCATATTCTTCTTTGAGTTCTGTTTCTTTTGACTGGCAGCTCAAAAACTATAGACAGATGTAAAATATGTTAGACCATATTTGCTGAGAAGTTGACTGTGATTTTGTATCTTGTGGTCAGGGCAGGATTTGGTTCTGTGAGGGGAACTGGCAAGTATTCTAATCTGGATCTTACCGGCCTAGATCTCTCATCTTATCCCTTTTTGCTTAAAGTTGAGAATTTTCTTGATGGAAACCCCCAAAAGAGTTTCAGATAATCAGTTTTCATCAACAGATGGGCAAGAGTGGGAGTAGATATTCCCCGTGGGTCACCAAGTTGGATGGATGAGGTACTGCCATCCTTCTGTCCTTTCTGAAATCTCGGCAATGGCTGGTTCCCTGTCCGTTTCACATATGCACTCTCACATCATGGCCAGAGAGCTGCTCCTGATGAGGTCAGTCACAATGGGCCCTTTAAAGGAGAGTTATAGATTCCTATTGTGGGTGGGGATTAGGGTCTGTTTTTATCCTTGGTTGGAACAGAACAAGGTATTTTCAGGGGATGGGAATGGGGAGAGTGTATGTGCAAATGAAGTACATGGTAATTATTAAAATATCCCCGGAGTATTAGTCACATTACAGACCATAAGTTTTAGTGACTCAGACAGAATATGTGTAAATATCAAGGGGACTAAAAGGGAATAGAAAATTTGGGAAAGCGTGATCGATTAACCATGACAACTGGTGGCTTTTGGCAAAGATAGATATTTCTGGCATTTTGAAAAGCTAAGTTATGCCTACACTATTTTTCCTAAGGGGAGAGAGCTATCTTGGGAAGTTCTGATGTTTTGAGAGCCGTAGTGAAATAAAATAGTGTTTCTCAGAGTGTGTTCAGAATCCCCTAGATTACTTACTAGACATGCAGATTTCTGGCCCTTATCTCAGTTCTACTGACTCAGCTTGGCCAATCATCAGAATTCTTAACTCTATAGATTTTTGAAGACTTACGCTGACCTACTTAATAAGAATATCTGGGAGTTGAAGTTGAGAATCACATACCTTCAGGAACAAAGGCACAACATCACTTCTATGTGTTTTTACCAGAAATGCATCCCATTATTCTAAATTCTAATGATGATAAAACATCAAACAAATCTAAATTAAGACTGATTAGAGAGACAAATGAGGCATGATAAGGAAATGGAATGTGCGATCCTAAATTGGATTCTGGACCAGATAGAGAACATCAGTGGTATAATTGATGAAATTAGGATATCTCCAGATTAATTTATAGTGTTACATCAATGTTAACTAATTCTTAATTAATTATACTTAATTTTTAAAATTAATTCTTTTCGAGTTCTTGTTCAACAGTTCATACATCTGTGTAACCTTTCTTCCTTTGCTCTGTAGGCTTATGATCTTTACTGCCCAAGCCAGGCAGATTTTCAGATCTTTCAAAATAATAGTGTGTGAGTTCTGTTAGGCTATACGTACGTACTTTCTCTTCACATGCAATCCTCACTATTAGGTGATGTTGCTAGACAATGAATAATAGGCGTCCTTTTTTCAAACTGATAAGTGAGGTGTAGTAATTTAGTGGGTTTCTACCAGCACTTAAAAAAATGGCATAGAAAATATCAGTGTAAGATAGAGTAAGGTTAAGTATTGTTTCAAGAAACTTTTGTTTCATTTACACATGTATATGTCGCATCTGTACTGGGTGGTCACGTAAAATGTATTTTGTACTCTTGGTTGCCATTAATGAAAAGTTTGAAAGCCCCTGCTTTAAGAGCTATCAGTCTTCTGAAGATATCAATAGATGAAATTGTCAAAAGCGTTGTGTTGTATGGACAAATGATAAGGAATTTAGAGCATTTTGTTTGGCACCTCTGGAAGATTTGGGGGGCCAGAAATCAGGGAGTTGTATATAAGTCAAAGAATTTTGCTGTGCTTAGGGTCTTAACCTTTTGCATTTTCAATAGACTTACAAGTCCCAGTACTGATGTGCAGAAAAATCATTTGAATGCAGAATGCCTGGTACGCCTGCAAATAGGTAGACCTGTTGTGGTACCAAATCCTGTGCTTTGTTTCAGGACAGAATTTGGCTGTAAAAGTTAAGGGTGTGCTGGGAATTACTGAAAAACAAAAACAAAACAAAAAAACCTAGATGAGCTAGAACAGACGGAACAGAATGTGCCAGGGAAGAAGAGAGTAATTGCTCAAGAAGCAAGGAGTGGATTTGTCTCACTGCTGTCATGGGCAACTTTCCAACTGCTTCAGGGCAGGAGTTGTATGTGAGTCTTTTCTCTACAAGGTTTGCACTTCCTGCTAAGAAAAGTTTTTGAGTACTGTGCTATTTATTAAGTTATTTTAGGAATGGAGTTTGAAGCGCTGTGCACATGTGGCCTTCACACTACCCAGCAGGTGCCCTGCTTGGCCTCCAGCTTTTTTGGAGAAGGCCTATGAAAATGTCCTCAGGAGAGTTTTATTATTACTGTTTTTATCAGTTGAATTTTGTTAGGAAATAGTGGACTCTAAGATTGGTGAGATCTGGGTTTATTTCTGGCTCTGACACTAATTACTATTTAACAGCAGCCAGGTAATTTGACTTTTCTCAGCTTCAGTTTGTCTTCTGTGAAATATAAGGGGGGCATCTCTGGGATGTTGGGAGAATCAAGTGAAACAGGAAATAGGAAGGAGCTGTGGTCTCTAGAGAGCACTTTACAAATGAGAAAAAGTGATATGTTACTGCTTTTCTCTAATAATTATAAGAGGGTTGCATAGTGAAGAGGGTTCTATGGATGAAACTCTCATGGCACATTAAACAAGTCTTTTATAGAGTTATTACAAAAACCTATAAGGGAAAAGCTTGAGGAAGTTCTCTCATATCATACTGAGTTGAGACCAAACTCAGTGCTTTAGGAATTTAGTTTTGGGGAGGCTTTGAAAGCAGGGGGTGGGGTTATACACCATATTTATTGAGTAAAACCGTTACCCATACTGGAGAAATTGTACAAAATTAAAGTAGTTGCTCATTCTGATGGAAATACAACACCCAGACGATTAAACCAACTTAATTTGCCTCCTGCTGAAACGTGAGGTTGTGGGACAGGTATTTTATTTTTAAAAGGATTGGTATTGAATTTAATTTCCCGGAGACTATTATAATCAAAAATGTTTTTAGCCCAATTGTTTGCTCTTTGACTGTTAACTAACACGATGATTCAATCAGGCTTTATTCAATTCAAACTAAATCCTTTGGAACCAGCCCATGTAGTTTCAACTTAGTTTCATTTCCTGGAGTGGAGGGTGCAGGATTCCCTCCCCCCCCCCCCCCCCCCCCCCCGTTTCCCATAAAGAGTATAAACTTCAATACAGGCAAATTTCAACAAGATGAGAGGACAAGTCTTTTTGGAAATCCCTCTCTTCCCTTCATCAGATGTGGTAAGGAGTTTTTAAAGTCCCTTGTGCAGTTTTCTAGGTGAGCATTCACTAGTCAGTCTTTTTTCCTTTCAAAGCAACTTTCCCTCTTTTTCTGGCCTAAAAATATGCAAATATTCATGAGTTAATTTCTTTCTTTTCTTTTCATGTATCTATAACTACATATTTCCTAGAGAATTGTATTTTAATGAGATAGTCAGAGTTTCCCAGCCAACCCCATTGCAAGTTGTTTTAGGGCAATGCATTTTAATTTTTTCTAATTCTACACTGAAGGAATCTTAACAGGGTATTTAAGTCAGGTGATACAAATGAGACTGGTAAAAGTACTTTAAAGAACTATGGTGCTGGAAGGGGTTTCCTTCCTATGTCAGAACCATTTCAGAAACTGCATGAATGACCTTTATTTTCTTCTCTGTAGCACACACGACTATAATTTCCCATGACTATTTATGGTCTGTACAGACTTTTTCTTTTCTTTTTTTTGTACAGCCTTTTTCTAACTTCCTTTTTTTTTTTTTAATGTCAACGGAATACATGTTTCTTTAATGGAAAATGTTCTATTTTGGGGAAGCTGCTTTTCCTTAGATAAGTAGTGGAGTTGGGCCGTGTGTGTGTAAGTGTGTGGAGGTCGCAAGATTGGAGAGTATTAACTTAGTGGACTGAGGGCCTGGGATGACAGTTTTGGTGATGACGCCCGAATACAAAGCTTTCTTTTTATCCAAGATTAAAAATAACTGTACCTGGTATTCCAGAGTCTTCCTTTTTAAGGAAGATTTTATTCTTTTTTACTAACATATGGTAAAATAGTCCTGAATTGAATGCTGAACATTTCAAACCTGGGTGGTTTTGAAACGAGAAAGGCAGTTCGTTAACAGGGTAGTTCTAGGTAAGGGGTGGGGGACAAGTCAGCTTTGACCTTGGCAACCATGGCAGGTGAGTCCTGTGGGCTGGACGCTCTCCACGCTCGGGTCACTGCAGCTTCACTATGGAACACACGTGGTGGAGATCCACTGTGAAGCAGCAGGGTTGTCTGCCCGTGAGCCGTGCACAGTTCCTGCTCTGTCCTTCCTTCCCTTTCCAGTGATTTGGAACCTGATCGCAGCAAGGATTCTGTTTCAGTTCCCCAGCTTTGCATTTTGCATTTATCTGTGTTTCACAATATACAGTTTTTGACAGTTTTAGTTATCTCAGGTGTAAAAACATTCTTCATAGTTTAGCTATTGTTCACTCTATCATTTGGATAACTGGTAGCATATCCATCTTGTTTTAATGTAAATTTTATTGAAGTATAATATAGATACAGAAAAGGGGCCATATCGTAACTGTAGCACTTGATAAATTTTCTCAAAGTGAACACACTCATGTGACCAGCACTCAGATCAAGAACCAGAATGTTATCATATTGGAAAAATTAGAAGCTGTCTCCTAGACACTGCTTCCCTTCCCTGACTTCTAATACCACAGATAAGTTTTACCTGATTTTGAACTCTATAATTAGGGAATCATGCAGTGTATCCTCTGGTATCTGGCTTCTTTTACTCAATATTATATTTGTGAGATTCATCCTATTGATACCTGTAGTTGTTCTTCATTTTCACTACTACATAGTATTACATTATTTTACTACAGAGTAAATGATCCCTTGCAGTTGTGAATGTATGTCAGTAAAATATGGTTTGGGCATCATACTGAAAAGGACTTAGTCACTACGTGATTTAGTTGTATTGTGATCTAATGTCTAATTATTTTATTACTATAAGAGCTCTTTTATTTTAAAATAGGCAATTGTTTTTCTCTTTCTTAAGACAGAATATTAATTTTATCTTATCACTATCCCTTCGACTCCCCACCAGCTATAAAATTAATCACTTTCTCTCACCTTTGTGCTTCCATAAAAATTGATTTCTCTGTGTAGTTAACACATACAGATAGCTACTGTGTTCATTATGGACAGTGGAGTCACATATCTGTATGCCTGCCAAAGCCAAGACCTATCTTTTTTTTGTTTTAAACTTTTTATTTTATATTGGAGTATAGCCGATTAACAATGTTGTGATAGTTTCAGGTGCACAAAGCAACTCAGCCCTACATATAGATGTATCTGTTCTCCCCCAGACTCCCCTCCCATCCAGGCTGCCACATAACATTGAGCAGAGTTCCCTGTGCTATATGGTAGGTCCTTGTTGGTTATCCTTTTTAAATACAGCAGTGTGTACATGTCAATCCCAAACTCCCTGACTATCCCTTCCCTCCACCCTTCCTCCCGCTAACCATAAGTTCATTCTCTAAGTCTGTGAGTCCGTTTCTATTTTGTAAATACGTTCATTTGTATCATCTCTTTTTAGATTCTGCATATAAGTGGTATCATACGATATTTCTCTTTCTCTGTCTGACTTACTTCACTCAGTATGACAATCTCTAGGTCCATCCATGTTCCTGCAAATGGCATTATTTGATTCTTTTTTATGGCTAGGTAATATTCCATTGTATATATATACACCACATCTTTATCCATTGCTCTGTCGATGGACATTTAGGTTGCTTCCATGCCAAGACCTACCTTTAGATTCATGTTTCTAAACCCAGTTTCTAATATGCCAGTTATCAATCAGAAAAATTCTAGGTTTGTTGAAGATTCTGGACTAGACCTGTGGCTTATCAGTGGGATTCTGTTGCATTTTTGTCATTGTAGCCTGAGATTCCTGAATGCATCTGCAAACAAACTGGAAACCCTTCCTCCAGCCACACTTTCTGAAGAGACAAACAGCGTCTTACAGGAGTTGTACTTGACGAATAACAACCTCACAGATAAATGTGTACCCTTATTAACAGGACACCCCCATCTGAAGATTCTTCACATGGCCTATAACCGACTTCAGAGTTTTCCAGCAAGGTAAAAGAAGATTACAGAGTGACATCCTTCATTGCATTTCTGAAAATGGATTCATAGATGGAAAGGCAAAAACTAACATGTTTATTTCCCAGATAATGTAAAGCTTGTTCCTCCTGATTCTGATTCACAGTGTCTTTTATATAAGCCAGTGTCAGCATTCCCCTAAAGAGAAGTGTGTTCATTTTTCTAATATGAATGTATCCAAGGACCCAATTGCTAGAATGTTCTTATGATTTTGAAATAAGGCATGTCATCTAGCAGGTATATTTTTTCTTTTGCTTCCTTTTAACCAGCCAAATAAAAAAAAAAAAGATTAACCTAGTATGATGTGTGAGAATTAGAACATAAACTAGGAACCTGAAGGCTCTCAATTAGCTAATAGCTTTTGTATTTATGCTTATGGTATAGAAAGCAATGGTGACCTGTGCATTCTTAGAAACTGTGACACTACAAATAATTTATGGCTTTTAGAAAATTCTACTTTTAAGTCTATTTTAATTTTAATTTCTAATTTTGGGGAGCAGTGGCATTGTATCTTGCTTTGAGTGAAGCTTTAACAAGTTAGGTCTTAGAACTCACACCCACACATCAAAGAAGCAAACACTAACCCCTCTGGTATTCTGCTGCTAACTGCGACTTAGCACTGGGCCAAAGCAAAATACGGGGACAGCCTCCCTCTGCTAGCGTCAAGGATACCAGTCTGTTGAAACCCTTACTAAAGGAGGGAGGCCCAAATATGCATTGACTTCAAGTATTACTCTATTTTTGTAGTATACATTTATTTCTTTACTTTTTCCCCCTCATTTGATGTTACTGATAAAGCTTTTCTTTCTTTCTTTTTTTTCTTTTAATGTACTTTTCTTTTACTGTGGAATGAGATGTTATTTTTGGAAGAAAACATAGTCGTCACATAACAATAATATCTCTGAAAGGGCTCATGGTCCTCATTTGATGGTGAATGACTAAGGCCAGCAGGAGAAATGATCATCAGCTCAAATTCTGAGGGTATCCCCCAGTGACCCATGCCAGTAGTAATCACCCTAACTACAGAGAATTTTTTTGACCACCTCCTTTCTATGCTGAGGGATAGAAATTTCTTTGACATGTTTTCTTTCTTGGACCTGATGTCTATACTCTCAATCTTTTTTCGTGCCTGTTACTCATTGGTTTCTCCACATTTCTTCTCACAATATGATGACAACATATTCAAATAATAATCTTACAAATTCAGGCTATCACAGATGGATTACTTCACAGTCTGTGCATACAGTGTTGTTTGTAACATATCCTAATACCATGTTGAATGTTTATGATATTAAAAGATCTGATTTCATAAGATAAAAACTTAGTTCTTGTATCTTCGGCATATATTTATTTTCAAGTAAGCAAATAAGGTAAGCTTTATTTTTGAGAGAAAACAGAAAGAAAAGCGATAAACTGTTTCTTGCTAAATTTTTTAAAAGGTTTATTGTGACAAATGAAACCACAGCAAGGAGAGGAGATACCAATAACTCTAAACTAAATGATTTAGATTGTAAGTTTGAGTTGCACTCACTGGGAATCCTGCACTTGTTAGATTCCACCTTCACAAGTGGTGGGAAAAGGGCCAGAGGAGTGATAGATGCATTATAGGTTTGTAGAGGCAGAGGGCTTTTTCCCTCCAGATTTACAGAAAATACAAGAAACCCTAATTCTGGAGTTTTTTTTATTGAGTTACTGTAATTATTGATTAATGTAATTAAATAGTAATTCTACATTATAGGTTAAGATTGAACAATACAAGACATTCTTAAACAAAAGTGTTAAATTACATTAGGACTTGTTATTAAGGTAAGATGAGAAAGATTCTTTCTTTGTAGGTGTTTAGCAGGAGTTGAGAGAAATTTCTTTTGGGTCCAGATTGAATTTGGGCATTGCCAGAGGTCAAGAGATGATCCAGATCACCTTCCAGCATCCTACTCCTCATGACCGCCTTGTTATCACGAGGGATGTCCAAGGAATTTGGGGAGTGGGGTTTCAGGAGAAAGCATATCTTCATATAAACCATACCCTTCTCTACTCTGTATATTCCCTTGAGGTTTCAGTGCCAATACGAAGAAATAATACTCTCACACTTTTAAAGCACATAGATTAGATTAAGGCCAACTTTTGACCCATTTGGGTAGGATTTTCACTGGAGTTCAGGCTAAGCACATAGTAAAGTGATTGTTGTCAGGGTAACTCAATTCACACAGAGTTTTCATAGGGAAAGAACGTCCATTTTTCTTCTTGTTGCCAATTCAAAAAGCTGAAGTTAAGAGTTTTTGTTTTGTAGTAAGAAAGGAGGTATCAAAATACTTTGATACTCAAAAACAGTAGTGAAAAGCTTGTCTGTTAAAATGACTAGTGCAAGTGAATCTTTAAAGAATCTTCAGAGTCACAGTAAATTACCTTTTGGTTCTCATTATCTATTATTTTCTTTCTAAATTACTTTGTGACCTGCCCACCCTTGGATTTTCTCTTTTTCAGTAAAATGGCAAAGCTGGAGGAACTTGAAGAAATTGACATCAGTGGGAATAAACTGAAGGCCGTCCCGACAACTATCATGAATTGCAGGCGCATGCACACGGCGATTGCTCACTCCAACTGCATCGAAGTCTTTCCTGAAGTTATGCAGCTCCCAGAAATCAAGGTACGTGGGTCGATTCCATAAACTCCAAGCTTCAGGTCCACAAAGAGACTTGTTTTCTCTAGTTCATCAGTTCAGGATGTTCGCACCCTTGTTGGATTTCCTCAGAATGAAGACTTCTCTGTTGTCCTTGCTCCATCCTTCCTCAGCACTGGGCTACACCTCTGAGTCGGCAGAGGGAAAAAAAAAAACAAACAAAAAAACAGTGATCAAAAAACGCTGGACTGGGAGTGGGGAAAATTGTATTCTGGGCTCTGTCCCTAACTAGCCACACAGCCACCTAACTCTTTCCCATCTGTCTAACAATACTTGTCCTGCTTATTTCCAGGGTGGTTATGAGACTCAGAGACTGAATCAGGTTTGATAGCAGTTTGAAATAGTTAACAGTACCTCTGCACACCCCTCCCCACAACTCCCCTAATTAAATAGCATCCATCACCGCAGCACCCAATTAGTAATAATTCCCTATATAGATGTAGTCTCATTACTGTTACCGTTACCAAACATTCACTTCAATTTAATGAAACCTGACAGAATAGATAGTATTCCCATTTGGTAGGTGAGGAAACTGAGGTGCTGAAAAGAAAGTGGTTTCTATAAACTGAAGACAGCAAATTGGTGGCAGAGACATTCTGCAGTTCCTGTCTCCTGACTCAGGGCAGTCTCATCGGATGAAACCAGTTCACTAGAATGAAAACCATCCAACAACTTTTTTTTTTTTTTTTTTTTTTTTGCGGTTCGCGGGCCTCTCACTGTTGTGGCCTCTCCCGTTGCAGAGCACAGGCTCCGGACGCGCAGGCTCAGCAGCCATGGCTCACGGGCCCAGTCGCTCCGCAGCATGTGGGATCTTCCCGGACCGGGGCACGAACCTGTGTCGCCTGCTTCGGCAGGCGGACTCTCAACCACTGCGCCACCAGGGAAGCCCCCAACAACTTTTTATTCTTTTTTTTTGAGCAAAGAGTAAGAAGTTCTTTCATTTTGCATTTTAGCATTTCTGATGATTAGTTTTGTGCTTAATAAAAAATAATTCTGGTTATAGACAAGGAGCATATTCTAATCTCCTATTTGAAGACACTTTGAATAGCATGAATAATTTTTCACCACAGGAGTTTTGTACATTTACATGGTTGAGGTGTGTACAAGTCATTTGATAAGTGTGTGCATGTGTGTGTGTGCTTAAGCCATGAAATATTTTACTGTGAGCGCACTGTCACCTCATACATGACCGTGTCATTTTAGAATACTTACTGTTAACTAGCAGAAATATTTTATTTTTACTTTATATACCTTTAACAGTAGGTAAGAGGTGGGGCTCTGAAGGAAGACAGATCTAGAGGTGGATCCCAACTAAAAGCTGCTTAATTGCTCCGTTTCCTCATATGTAAAATGAGGGAAAGAACAGTGCTTCCTTTACAGTATTGCTGTGAGGATGAAATGAAATAATACATGTAAAGCATTTGAAATAGAAGTGGCACCTGGTAAGAGCTCTGTAAATGTTAACTATAATTAGTTACAAGACCTCGATGGAGTTCAACTCTGATGTTGATTATATGGAGCAACTGTTCTGGCTGATGATCCACAAAATCCAGGAAATCTGTCACTTAAGCAAATGCTTCTTTGCTTCCATCGCAGGAGCAGTGTTGACAGCTAAGCTTTCCAGAGGCTGCTCCACTGCCCATTACTCCGTGGTGGGGTGTGGTGTCTGTCACGGGGCCTCATTAAACAGGTCTCTGTGCACTGAGGCCTCGAGATTAACCTCCTGTTTGCTGGTCTTTCTGCACCTGTCTTTTAATGTTATATAACTCTTAATCGTAGATTCTTTTTTTTTTAAGTATCTGGTTTAAAATACAGATACAGATAGACGTTTAAACTTTTCAGGTTTTGACTAAATTTTGCAAAATACGAATGTTGCTCTATGAAAGCAAATCTTCTCTTAGACCCTTGCTTGGATTCCTGGGTTCTAAACTTGGTGCCCTCGTGTTTCCATTTAATTCCTTCCCCTGTAACCCTGCTTTACAGCTCCTTTTCAAATTTTACTTTTGGTATTACTTTTTTTTTTTTTTTTTACAGTTTTTCTTCTTTTGTTCTTTGATTTTTAACCCCAGATATTGTAGCTTAGCATTTTCCTTACGTTAAAAATGTCCAGTGTTTCTGACGCAGCTCTTCCATTACCAAGAGGTATTTTGTTGCTGGGGTTTTATTTGTGGGGGGTGGTGGTGCGGTGAGCAGTATCAAGTCTCCTTTATGTACAAAGTACAAACTTTGCAGCCCTGGACAGACGGTGGTATTGAAAAAGTAGTAGTTATGTTGTTTGAGAACTCCGAAATGATATTTTAGTGTTATTTCATATGAGAATACTTTAAGTTGCTATATAAGTATTTATGCAGATTTAAACCATCCAAGGGACTTCCCTGGCGGTCCAGTGGTTGAGACTTCGTGCTTGCAATGCGGGGGGCGCGGGTTCGATCCCTGGTTGGGGAACTAAGATTCCACATGCCGTGCAGTGTGGCCAAAAATAAATAAATAAACCATCCAAAAGAAAATTCCTGGTAAAAATATTTGCTGTAAACAGATGATAAAATACCTATGAGAGTCTTGACTGCAAACTGAGCCCTAAAGCATGTTTCTAATGGAAAAGAAATCATTTTTTTCCTAAGTTGAAATACTCCAGCCGCTATTAAAATATTATCATTGAGTTAATAATCCTAGATTGTATTCTTATTGCTTCTTGAAAATAAAGTACAATAATTGTAAAGTATTTCATAAAAGGTATGAAGATCATTGCAATTATAAACATTAACAGATGATTTAAAGAGGGATAAGATCCTGGTATATTTAGCTAGTTCTCTGTGAGCAGTCTCATCTTTTCAGACATTAAAGAAAAGTGCTTGTTCACTGCTTTGTTACCAAAGCTTTAAAACCAATTACCATTTAAAGGGTAAACAAGTTTTATTACTAAAATATATATGCTAAAATGTAGTTTTTTATTTTACTTTATTATTTTTTTTAATGTAGCTTTTTAAACTTGTAAAATCAGGCCATTATTCATGTACCCCTAAAACAGAAACTATATGCATCCCCTATTCTTGGATAAAATTTAGGTCTGGCCTTTTCTCATTTTGGTGCATTTGGTGAGATCTGTTAAAGTGATCATCAGGCATCAAATTCTGTACTTGGGCAGGAAGGTCATATAAATTCATAGGAAAAAAAGTATATTTTTTAGAGTTTTTCGATGAGCTCAAGTGCACCCAGAGTCATAGTCGTTGTTCCTTAGTATTGATATTATTGTCTTCACCTTTGTTTAGCACTTTCAAATTAGTCTTCCAAACCCCACCACCAGTCCTGTGTTCCTGGAGCAGGTCATGTTCTGTTCTGATTCTAAAATAGACAGACCTCCCTCTGGATACGGATCAGCTCTCAATCACCACATAAGCCAGACTTGGCTTGGCTGGTCCCAGGCCGAGGTCCTCACGTAGGCTGCTAGAGCTGATGGACCTGAAAAGCAGAGGTGGCCGCGGGTGTGGCACTCGGCTTCTCTTCCTCAGGGGCCCTTCGCCGAACCACATCGCAGTCACGTTGATCATGTAGGAGTTCTGCAACAACACCAAAGCTTTTAGTTGAGTTACTTCCAATTAGGGACATGGTCCTACCTTTTTTGAAGTGTGGTTTAAGCAGATGAAAGAAATGTGTGACACATACAGTGAATGAAGGTTGAAATTTAAACACTGTATATCAGCAACTTTTGTCAAATTTTCCATTTCCCTGCGGTGTCCTGATTCTGATTACTGGGTGAACAGCATCTTTTAAAATGTTTTAAATTCTCTTCAGAAGGTTATTTTCATGTTTGTGCTGTGCAGTAATAAACCACTTGGATAAGCTGAGTGACTTCGTCTTTAGGACTGTTATTTCACTTCATGGAGTATGAAGTATTTTTAATATGCCACACTCTTGAGAACAATGGCTGCAGGAAGTTGAATTTCCCTTGGAATCAAGCCATGTTGTTGTTTCTAAAGTGAGATGAGAGCGAGAGAACCGGCTCAGTCATAGGACACAAAGAACATGGGGAAACGGCTAGGTCAGAATGGATGAAAGAAAAGGCATTAATTCTTTGGAAAGTAGGATAATGGAAATAAAGACAGATCAGGGGCCAGTTAGATGTCTAGTTTGGTAGAGTAGTTGACCTACTAGACTTAAAAGGTCATCTAGGAACTGCAGTATCCAAAAACCAGGAAGCAGGAGCAGTTGTCATTATGGTCCTGGAATCTGGGTAATGGTTATTTAGGAATTCTTCTATCATTTGGGGAATCTGGCATCCATTCCTGTTTGGGACAAGAGCTAAGGAAAAAGGAATGAAGCAGTGTCTACCAGGACATGGCCATTTAAGCCACTTTTCTCCCTGCCTCACTGGCAACTCACCAGCAGGAAGCTAGGACTGCATAGTCTCTGTCTTTCAAAGTTGGGGTAATTTATTAACTCAGACTAATTTGTTTGTTTTTTTAACTCTAGTTTTAAAAAGTATTTCAGCAGCCCTTTTAAACACAAAGCCATGTCTTTTACAATGAAATACTGCATGCATCTTACGAAGTGGGTTATGTGTACATACAGATAAAGAACTGGTCCTGTGTGAGCTCATGCATATTAAAAGTATCCCTTTAGAGATGCTCCTGGAGAAAGGAGCACTTGTGACCGTAAGTCCTCAAAGAAGTTGGCTGTGAAGTGGTCACTATCCTGCTCTTCAGAGTCTTTTATTAGTAAGGAAAAAGAGAAGTGAGCTCATATGCCCCCAAATCTGGAATACAGCCTGGAATCATCTATAAATTTCTTTGAAGTCTCCTTTTTGATCTAAAATTACATGCTAATTTTGTGTTCTACTTTTTACCATTTCTTTTAGTTTTAATGTAAAAATAAAGGCTCTTCCTCTCCATAATCTTTGAGTAACACCGAAGCCCCCAGAAGCATGGGCCAGGTGTCCTGTAACTTTGTGATATACCACTGAGTCTCCCCAAGGGCACACATAACCAATTTTATGAGGTAATGAAATTTATGAGGTAAAGGAATTGCTTAGTTTATATAGGATGCATTTTCTTAAAGTCAGATTTTATAAATAATTTATTTTGGTTCTTAAGGGAATTCGCTATTTGGAGGAATGGAATGCTATTTGATGGATCGAGGATTTGTTTAAAACAAAGTTTTACCCTGATTGTCATTTTTGTCAAGTAGTTGCCAATAAGGTTTCTAAAATCCAGTTGAGAAAAATCACAGATACTGTATATAAATTTAAAAGGAAGAGTCTGTACAAATTAAAGTTCTTCTTTTGCAACTTCCTGAAAGGTGGGGAGGTTTAAACAATATATATTCCTGAATAATTATAGACAAATACACTATTACATAGGAAAACCGAACTTCAACCTTGGCTTTAGGGTCTGTGTTTAAAGTAAAAGGTTCAGACTGGCGCTCTCAGTTAATAGGTTTACTTAGATGTGTGAACATCCTACAGGGATGATGACTTAGCCTTTTGCAACATCAAGAATATGTAGTAGTTTAAGTGTTAAAAGAGAATTTGACTTAAAAATTATATAATGAGAAATACTACACATGTGTGTACATGTATTTTACTCTAAAGCTACAATGTTCGGGTTCCTGTAGAACTCTGAGAGAGGGAGGTAGTATAGATGACTTCAGCGTAAGACACAATCTGTAGTTCACCATTTGGCCCCTACCTGCCTCTCCAGCCTCATCTTCTGCTCTCGGGCCCGACCATCTCCAACCACACCAACCACTCTTGCTTCGTGTCCTGGTATACCGTGCATCACTCTGTCTCTTGCCTGGTGCACGTGCTGTCAGTGCTTGCTAGATGCCCTCCTGTTCCCATCTGCCTCTTTATCTTTAATTTTGATTCTTCACAAAAATCCTCTCCTGGAAGGCCCTCTCTGTGGTCTCAGTAGCTGCCGCTTCACTGTCACAGCCACACACACTTGTACACATCGTTGATCATAGCAGCTGGAGGTAGGTAGTGGTGTTCATTTCCCCCTTTAGCCTGGGAGTTCCTCGGGGTGGGGACTGTGTCTGCCATCTCTCTCTCGAGGTCCCTGATGTCTGGCTTATTGTCTGCCATTTAGTAGATGCTAAATAAATGTTCTTTTGATTGAGTACTTGGATGTATTTGCTTCTTTTGACTTCAAAATGGAAATTAGTGAACCTGTTCGGAGGGGGAACATGTTATACATCAGCGGCTTTTACCTTGTGAGGACTAGGGAGTGCAGAAGGTGAGTGGGAGCCCCGCCATTTGGAGCTGTCAGAGCTGTTGGGCAGCACAGTTGAGGGGGGGGACTAGCTGTGGTCTGAGGAAGGAAGAAGCAAGGGGGTTGCAGAACCTCAGAGCTCACTAGTTCTGTTAAGTTGCTGGTTCGGGGCAGCCCAGGCAATTATTTGGCAGATAATGAATAATACACTGCTGTGAACATTGATATGCTTATTTCTTTAGTAATGTTTTGTGAGGAATCATCATAATTAACATATTGCAACTTTTGTGATAATTACTTGAACTATACATCGCATTGTATTCCCTTTCTTTAAGATACACTGATTATTTTCCTGTACTCATATATAATTGTATTAGCAGTCATTTCCTCTAAATCATGAGTTCCTTCTCAATTATGAGTTATCTCACTTTTTCTGAGGGTTGGATAATTCTTTTTTGAGCATTCTTAACCAGAGTTTTGTATTATAGCAGAGTGATTTTTGTTAGCTGTGTCCTAGAATGGGCCTGAAAGAGGGGATGATAACGTATTAGATTCAATATTCTATTTAACAATGTATTTCCAAGAAAATTTTAGTGCATTAAATATAAATACATACATTAAACAACATAGAATATATGGGTACTATTTTTTTTCTCAGGTCTCACTTCCAAATTTTCTATTTTCTTAGTGGTCGCCGTTACAATTATTCAGTCAACAAGTGTTTGTTGAGGACTATTAAAAGAACAGGAGATATAGTACTTGTAAGTAGAGCACTCGCTATCTGCATTGACACCAGTAGATTGGCACCAAGTACGAGTGTCCTGTAATTTTTAGGAATAAACCTCCTTCAATGTGCAGAACTATATAAAGGTGTTTCTCTGCTTATCTGCCCTTAAAGAGTTTCCTTCTCATGCAGAAACAAAAGCATTTTAAAACGTATCAATTGCTTTGCAGTGCTACTTATTCTAGACTGAATTTAACCTAAACATGTGTATCTCAGTTCCCATCCTAAGAGATTTAATTACTGAGGAACCTTCTTATAAGATCCATTCATTTATTCATTCAACAAATAATTGTTTACCAAGTGCCAGGCAATCGATTGTTTATTTGTTCCTCCTTTCAGTGAAGGCATCTACCAAGCCTCTAATCTTTGCAGTGCACTGCACTTCAGATATAGGAGGAGAAGAGGCAGTCCCTTCTCTCTAGGAGCTCGTGGTCTAGTGAAAGAAAGAAATAAGCAGATACTTATAACAAGGGACATCTAATTGAAACGGGGGCTGTAGTGGAATTGAGTGACATTGTAGTGGCGTTGAGTCTTAAAAGAATAAGGCAGATTACCAGGTAGAAGGCAAGGATAGCTTGAAGAGTTCCATTCACAGAGAATAGCATGTGCAAAGGCACAGACAAATGAGAACATGACACACGCAAGAGTTAACTTTGACGCAGCTGAATATAGAGTGTGAGGAAGCAGGTGGCGAAAGGTGGGGTGAAGGCCTTAGTTGACGTGCTGAGGACTTTGGTGGCAGATTGAAGGGTAGTAGGGAGCAAAAGAAAGACTGAAGCTGGAGTGTGATGTGATAGAACAAACCACATCAGAGAATCACCCTGACAGCATTGTGGGGAATGCAGCAGAGGGAAGTGAGACTGAAAGCAAAGTTCGGACGCCATCGTAATCCTCCAGGGGAAACGTGATGTGGGTCAGAAGAGGACTACGGGAACTGACTGCCGTGAATTAAAGACTTGGTGATGAAATGGGCCTCGGCGGGGGTAGTGCGTGAGCACCATCTCATAAGACCTGCGTTACCATCACCAACATTATCTTTATAAATGAATACCCTATTGACCTCATTTTATAATTTGGTAATTTAAAGAATGAGCAATTTTACCTCTACAGAACTGTGAAAGTTTAAATCTTTAGAGGTAACATTAAAAAACATTGCTCACCAATTTCAAAAAATTCAGTAATGTTCTAAAATGTCTTTACTCTTTCCCCATAATGCACGCTCTGACCTCTGAATTCGTTTGTGTCAACCACCTACGTTCTGTGTTGCCCACACCTGTCAGGCCTTAAGCTCATGTTTCATCACCACCAGGAGATTGTATTGACACCATGTGTTGTTTTATCTGTACTGATGTACACTGACCATACTGCCAGAATAGCCCGTTATGAACCAGTATTACCAGTGTTTCATTAAAGTCCAGTTTCATTAAAGTCCAGTCCAGTCCTATTCATGCAACCATTATTTATATTTGGAAAAACAAAAAAAGGAGATGACCATGTCCCTGTTATTAACATTTAGGTTAAGTGAATTCTTGTACTTCTGTTGAAAGTATTAAGACTATAAAAGGTGTTGGGAGTGAAGATATAGAATAAGTGAAATGTAATGAAATTGTACCTACATTTATGGGTTTTAAAAGTTTTTTTTTATTAATAAGGCTAAAAGAAACAAAAATAGAATTCTAACACTGGTTGTGTTCAGGTGTTAAATTTAACGATAAGTTTTCTAATCTCTGTCCAACTTTTTATAATGTGGTTATAATGCTCATAGTAAAAAAAAAAATTACAGTATATCATTGCTACTGTTTCAGAGCAAGGGTATGAAACAATTTGTGTGGAAACATTGTATTGTTTGAATTCAACTGAGAATATATTTCTCCAAAAATAGAGGTTTTCATTTTACCCAGTCTCTACCCCTCCCCAATGCATAATAGATTTAAGTTCTTTAAAAAATTTTCCAGATAAAGATGAATTTGTCCACTTTTAAGACTGAAATTCTTGGATACAATTTGCCTTTCAGTCCACCTTAAGATTTTTAATATGCTCTTTAGGCATTTAAAAAAATTATAATAAGGTACCAGCTCAAGCCAGATAATTGAATGCTTTCTCCCCATTCTGCCAAATTGTTGGTTACACATTCTCTTATCAGAAAAATTGCCAACTGTTCTCTCTTGTGCATGTGATCCTTCTTCTACCCTGGTCCCCGCTCCCATAACAGAAATGCAGCACCTCCTTTTGGGACTTAGCTCATTTAAGCCTTAGATTTTGCAAGAAAGGTGGTGTTATTCCCATTCACAGATAACACATAATTTTTGTTCTAATCGGTATGCTGACCCTTTTTGTGGCAGTTTTCCAGGTGAGATTAGGCAGGGCTGTTGGAGAGTCCAGGTATTGGATGCCTGGAGTGCAGGATTTATATCTGACTCCTGTCTTTTTCCCGTGCATATAGTAGGCAGGCCCACCTGCTAGTCTTTCGCCACTTTCTTATTTAGCTTCTTTTGAATTATCTTCCCATTTTGAATATTCGTTCCCTGCCTTCTCCTCATTTTGCGTGTTTTTTGGTTTGTTTTAAAAACCAAAGACAAGCCCTTTAAAGTTCCGTCTTGATGTTGTAACTGTAACCCTCATGGCCACAGCAAGTGCGGAGATATTGTGAACAATGTGAGTAAGACATGATCTTCAGGCTTTTTCAGTTAATGCTTAATTTTTAAATGTAGAGATGAACTTAAAAGGATGAAGCTGGGGAGTATAAAGAACATGGAATTTGTGTTATTCAAAGAAAGTAAAATTTTAACTACATTTAGCACAGTTTGTTTTAAATGTTTATGGCAGAATAGCAGACAAACGTAGTTTCTGCATTTGGCCGTCATAGTACAATGAACGGTCACACTGATTTTCCTGCAACGAGTAGGAGCATAGAACTACCTAAACAACTTCTCCAGGCCATCTCCTCGTGTTTCCACTTGTTCCTTCAGTGCGTGGACCTGAGCTGTAATGAGCTAAGCGAAGTCACTTTACCAGAAAACCTGCCTCCAAAACTGCAAGAACTAGACCTGACTGGAAACCCCCGACTCGCCCTCGATCACAAAACCCTGGAGCTGCTGAAGTAAGTATTTTGTGAAGCGCTGCAGCCCCATCGCTATTCACCGAAAATGACATTTATCACTTAGTCAAAACATTAAATGGGATATGAAGCATCTGTTGACTTATTAGGTCTGTCTACACACATTTGAAGTGAAGTGATTTGTGAGTCTGTAGTTCACCAAAATGGACGAATGGCCAAAAAAATTTTCAAGTAATTGGATACTCGTGTCCTTTCAGAAAGTTTTTGAGAAAGTGTCCAGACAAAAAGAGATGAGAACAATGAAAACAGAGAGGAAAAGGGGATTTAAAGACACAGGAGAGAGCAGCGAACAACCAAGAAGTAAATGTACATCTCGGTTACGAATAATATGGTGTGTGATGCTTAATGCAAATGTTACAAAGGGATTTTGCAGGAGATTCATAATGTGGGGTAAATGAACAATTTGGAACTAAAATTCAGGTTATTTAAACAAAACTGGTAGAGTGGGGTAGTTAGATCCTGCAAGGTTGTCTTCCTGTTTTGGGAAGAGTGTTCATTGGTACTGTCTTATGTTTTCTGTTGATGGAGAATAACAGGTTGGTTGGAGCTCACTATGTAAAACATTAAAGTTAACCTTGTTAGAAAAGATGTCTTTATAACAATGTTCATCACAGAACTCTAAATATCAATAAAATTAAATTATGCTTCACATAATGAATATTATACAACCACTAAAAACAATGATGTGGAGTTATATTACTAACTTGAAAGATCTCTGCATATGACGTTAGGTGAAAAGAAAGTTTACAAGGAAATTTGTTTAGTGTAATCCCACTTTTTGTAACATAAATTGGTGTGCATTTGGGTATATGTGCGTGTGTGTGCGCACATGCACAACTAGAAAATTCCTAAAAGGATATAAAACAAAATGTTAAAATGATGCTGTTCTCTGGATAATATAATTATGGATGGTCTTTACTTTCTTCTTTAAATTTTTCTGAATTTTCAGAATTTTTTGCAGTGTACCTCAAAGTAACAGTCCTTGACATCAACACACATTAGACAGTGTGTATGCCATCCGTGCTCAAACCCTGTTGTAATATCTGTTGCTGAAAGTCATCTTCCAATATCTTAGAAAAAACTGAAAAGGAGAAGAATTTTGAAAAGAAGAGTAATATTGGTGGTCCATTATTATTATCCTAGGCTTTAGTACATATCAAAATTTGAAAATCACCTAAGGTGATTCCTGGTTGGAATTGGCTTAATTAGTGCCTGTTCGTTGATATTTTAAGTACTTAATGAGAAAATTGATTTAGTTGAAGAATATTGCCTAAGTACAGTGTCTTCGGGAAGCCACGGGGACCGAGGCTCTCTCCACTGTGTATCAGTATGTGAAGCTTTGGCCCAAATCCCTCAGTGTGTCCAGACCTTAGTTTTCTCATCTCTTAGGGAGGATGGCCTACACACTCTCTAAGGGACTTCCAGAACTAAGAATACATGGATTAGCAAAACATATTTCATCTTTATAACGGGTAACTTTTTGAGTTTTTACAAATATGACATAATTTTATGATAAAAATAATTATATAAAAATCTGTTAATCAATGGAAGTAGCTGTTTGGAGGAAAATATAAGTTGAATTTTATTGCACACCAAAATAAATTCCAGCTAAATTAAAGAGTTAAATACATAAAATGAAATAATTTTTAAAAGTAAGAAGAAATCATATGGATATATTTACAAACCAGAAAAGGACTTTTTAGGGCAGAGAAGGGGGTGGGGGAAATCAGAAAAGAAGTCAATATGTATACAGTGGTTTTGATATTTATGTTATGTATATTTTTATATAAAAATACTTTTTTACATAAAAGTTTTAGATATCTGTTCCAAAAGCTATCCAAGGTAAATCTAAAAGGCAAATGACAAACTGAGAAGAAACGCTGGCAAAAAATAAGAAAAATAAAAGCATTAATATTCTTAATAGAAAATGTTCTTATGAGTCAGTAGTGATAAGTACTCAAGCAGAAAGTAAGTGAAGCATATTAACATTTAATAAACACAAAGTATGGATAGTTACATGAAAAGATCGTATTCAGCCTTATTAGTGTATCAAGGAAATATTAAATAAAATATTTAAATGATAACATTTTCCCCCCTCAAATTGGTGTTGATGGAGGGTTGTAAATTGATATAACTTTTTAAAAAAGCTTTTGGCCCTGTGTATCAAGCTTTTAAAAGTATTCATATACTTAGACCAAGGTTTTCTGTGGTAAAAATTTATTCTAAGAATTAATCAGAGATATGGTATTTATTTTAGGTACAGAGATAGTCATCAAGATATTTCTAATTAAATTTAGGATGAATATAAAATGACATGGGGAAATGTTCATGATGTAATTAGAAAAAAGATACAAAACCATATATATAATAGAATGGCCCCATTATTATATAGGCATGAGACAGTATCTCTTAAAATTCTCTACCAAAGGACATATGTTACTAGAGTGGCCAGAGCTGCTACAGTGAAGCACATGTGTGTTCTCAGATTTAAAAAAAATTAGTAACGGACAGTGAAATCATAACACTTTTAGGTAAAAACGTTACCCTCCATTTAATATCTAGAAGGTTGTGGCTTCTTAATAACTTGGGAGAGTTTCCATATCTAATGTATTACTTGCTCTTTTAGAGGGTTGGCCTGTTTGTTCTACATGAGGCAGGGTTAGTCCATATGAAGACTCTTCCATGTGACTGAGCTCCGGCTCCCAGATTCCCTCAGACTAATTTCAAGATGTAGGAGAGTCAACATCCAGGTCACTTCAGACGGCTGCTCAGTCACGCTGTGTTCAGCTTGGCGGAAATGAGAGATTGCTGCTTCACTAGAAAGGATTATGGGGGAGTTTAAGGATTAGTTTTTCATTAATAATCAGGCTAGGAGGGCTTCCCTGGTGGCGCAGTGGTTGAGAGTCCGCCTGCCAATGCAGGGGACGCGGGTTCGTGCCCCGGGCCGGGAAGATCCCACATGCCGCAGAGCGGCTGGTCCCTTGAGCCATGGCCGCTGGGCCTGCGGGTCCGGAGCCTGTGCTCCGCAGCGGGAGAGGCCGCAGCAGTGAGAGGCCCGCGTACCGGAAAAAAAAAAAAAAAAAAACAGGCTAGGAAATGGAATTATTTCTTTGAAGGCTCCCTGTTCTGTAAAAAGTATAAATGTCTTTAGAAAGGAGTCTTCCGTTTTTCTCCAAAACTCAGAAAGGTAGGAAAAATGTAGGGAGAACCTTAAGGTATGCCTTAAGAAACCCATTGCATTGCTTACCATTGTACGTGGATAAAATTTGGTACCAGGTCGTATGGAAAGCAAACAACAGCAGACTATGTTTTTAAATACACCTTTTATTGATGGGTTTGAAAGGAGGATATATCTGTAAAATGAGGTATTTGATTTTGAGATTTTCTGTTGACACTACCTATGATTTTTATGTTTTTCAGCTTTTTTAGGATAAAGGAAAAGGTGAATGTTTTCTGGTAATTAAGAGTAGAAACTTTAATGAAATATTTTTAAATTTCAAAGAAATTGCCACCAAATATTTCTAGAATCAAAGTGAATATTATTAGACATTGATTTACTTCTGAGTTGAATGGTTCTTAGGAAAGGTATTCAGTACATATTATATTTTGGAGTTAATGAATGCCAACAGATAATTTAAATTCTTGGGCTCAGGACAAAATTGTTTAGGTGTTAAGAGATTATACATAATTCTGTTTCTCTTGTTTAAGTAACGGGGGAATAAACTAGTGGCAATTTACAAGTAGGGATTTATCTCACCATGTGGTAGGCGGCCTTTTAAAAACCTGCTTCACATCTGTATGGCTTCCTGTTTGTGAGCACTGAACGCTTTCTAGTAGGCTGGTTTTTAATGAACTGCATTTGAAGGTTTACTCTTTTAATATTTCTGTTTTGGGTCCTTTTGGACCAGTTATAGCATATGAGAGCCAAGGTGAGATAAGAATTTGTCTCCCAGTTCATCTATATGTAGTTAATGTGTAATTTATTGAATGCCCCTCGTTTACTTCATAATTTTATGATATTGGTCTCAGCATGGTTGTGCAGGTGAGGAAAGAATTGGAAGCTTCAGGGGATAGCAAGTCCCCAGTAATATTTGTGAAATATTTGAAGGGGTGATGTGGGCAGATACTGGATTTGAGGATGAGTGTTGCAGAATTCTCTCACATGATCCAAACACAGTACAGTCGTGGCTTGGGTTTCATTCTTTTCAAATCTGGGCTTCCTGTTGTGAGAATACACCCAACTTAATAGTTAAAGTTTCTTTTCTCATGCCAGGGTTGAGAGCTGTCCCCTTCATCCCCAGGAGAGAGTAGCCATCTAGGGGTGGTGTGTGTGTATGTGTGAAAGTGCCTAATAACCGACATTGATGCCGATAGAACTAATTTTCATGCTCTGTGTATGTGCCCCTTTGTTTTCATTATGAGCAGCTAGTTCTTGTTGCTGATAAATATTTCAGACACATTAAACACAAATGGTAAGTACAGAGTGCTTAGGTGTTTTTCATTTCTCAGGTAAAAGTAGCAATTTGCACATGTTCTGTTTTAATGATTCCTGGCCCCTCTGTTTCTCTGGTTAGTAATATCCGCTGTTTCAAGATTGATCAGCCTTCGGGAGGCGATGCATCTGGAGCCCCAGCGGTTTGGAGCCATGGCTATACCGAAGCTTCAGGGATGAAAAACAAGTAAGTGGGGTGAAACTTCGGAGCGAGAACCGCCACCTGCCCGCCCCCCTGCCTCCCTGCTTTAGTGGAGTAGAAGCCCAGTGCTAGCACACACTTTCCCTGTGTCACATTTATTTCAGTATGTTTCCCCAGAGTGAGGCCACCTCATGACTTAGGCTGGAACATTAGGCTAAGCCCTGCTTGGCACCACATACGCTCTCTTTGTGAGGATGTTGCTAGGATACGGCGTAACTGACACGTTATATCTATGTGAGACTCCAGTGTTTGGAGAAGGCGTAAGTATTGAAATGCATCCCTGCTCTTTTGAAAAGCCCCTTTATCTTTCTCTGAAGCCTGTTTACCAAGCAAAACAGGGATAGTATTAAAGGAGTAGAAGTAGCCTTGATTGTCCATATTCGAGACCCCTTATGTTATTGACAGTCACTGTTTCTGTGGAGCTGTTTTTTACAGTCTAAATTAGCTTGTCAGGAATTTGATGTCCATTCCCTGTAATGTCAGCTGCTTGTCTTGCCATCAGGTCTTGTGCATCTTAATTTCTTTCTCTTCCCTATTTTCACCAACCTTCCCTGTCTCCGATGCAGATGTTGGTTTCTTGAGAATTGTAATCCAGCTCTTCAGGCTTGCTTGCTTTTTATGAAGGGGTGCTGATAATCAGTACTAGAAAAGCAAAGGATCCTATAAATTAGAATGGTCATAATTTAATTAGCTAAGGTATAAGAACACAAAATTTTGAGAGCAGGGGAAGAACAGGAAGTGGAGGATGATCCCATAATAGCTAACAGCGTTCAACCCTGGGTGCACATTAGAATCAGTCAGGTGAGGAACCTTAAAGAACATTTTCCAGCCTAGGCCTGTTAAATCAGAATGCTTTAACATCTCCCCCAGGTGATTCTAATGTGCATCCAGGACTGAGAACCACCGACTAGCTTGAATACCCTTCATGGAAAATAAAAGGTGGAATTGTGGTTGCCATGCTGACTGCTTTTCCTTGGGTCAGAAAACAGAATGAGCTTGCACTGTGCATCTGACGCACTGATCCTGTCCTCTTTCCCTGAGAGTGTGCTTTGGCATATTAGAGAAGACGTAGCCCCCATTTCAACATCTCTGTTCCATTTGCCCCCCCCCCAAAAAAAGGCAGAATAACCAGTTGTGTCTGGGCTCTGACTGCTTATTTCGATGTACTTTGCACTGTATATCATTATATTTTGGGGAGAGAGGAAGAAACTATACATTCTTTGGAGCAGTCAAAGTTCCTTCCTAGAGATCTTTCTTTTTTTAGATCAAAAGATCTTCTGTCTTACTTATACACACCAGTATGTGAAACTGCTCTCTAATTCCAGAACACTGATGTGAAATCCAAGATTGGTTTTTAAACCTCTCTGGATATTAAAATGTATTATCTACTCATATATATTAATGAATCAGTGACCAGTTAGGTATTTTTTCCTACATAATTCCCTTTTCCACAATTCATTCTTAAAAAAAATTTTTGCTATATTGAAGTGTAAGATAAACGGTAAGCATACAACTCTATGGATTGTCCTTAAGTGAACCAGCACCTAGATCGAAAAATAGAACATTACCAGCGCCTCAGAAGTCCCATGCCATCCCTGGCCCTCACTTTATTTTCCCTTGCTTTTTTACCCTTTGGTTTTGCCAGCAGAAGTTTCTCAAGAGTTTTCTTTTTGAATTGTGGATAAAGTAGATATATAAGCAAGGAGCTTGCTGCTTTGAAGGAAGGAGAGAACTGCAGTTGTCCCTGCCCCCAGATCTCAATAGACATCTATTCTCTTCTCCCTCCCACTTTCCCCTATGGGTACTGGTGCCGTGTTGCCTCCCTATCAGGTCATTTCAGATCCTTTGGGAAAATCCAAGCAGGGAGCTGCAATCCTATAATTTAGGTTCTTCCTCAGACTAAAAAACAAACAGGAAGCTTCAGCAGAAAAGAAAAATCACTACTGTACTTTTAAAACACATTATTTTTTTCATACCTCCTGCCCCATTCTTTCTAGCAAGGGGAGCTTACAGAAGAAGACAGAATTATAAGATGATTTACTATTATATAATTAAATTTTACTTTGCCACTAATTGTCATATAACTAGGGATAACTTTTTTTTCTTTAATAAATGGAGGCAAGAATTTCAAAGTACTGGGCTTCCCTGGTGGCACAGTGGTTGAGAGTCCGCCTGCCAATGCAGGGGACACAGGTTCGTGCCCCGGTCCGGGAAGATCCCACATGTCGCAGAGCGGCTGGGCCCGTGAGCCATGGCCGCTGGGCCTGCGTGTCCGGAGCCTGTGCTCAGCAACGGGAGAGGCCACAACAGTGAGAGGCCCGCGTACCGCATACCAGATTTCCTAGCTTTGAATCTGGGCTCTATACTTTTTTGCTATGTGACCTTGAGCAGTTACTCAATCTCTCTTTAGCTTACTTTCCTCATCAAAAATACTACTTGTCAAAAAAAAAAAAAATACTACTTGTCCTTATAGGGTTATTGTGAGGATCCACTGATTACATACGTGAAGAACTTAGAATAACATGTGCCATATAGTAAACTATTTAAATTTAGTTGTTATTATCATTAATGATAATGGGTATTGCTATTGTTATTTATCCCCAAACTCCTTAAGATCAGGAATTATATTTTCAGGTTCATACCGCTGTTACCTAGCCATGATACATATTAGGTGCTTAATAACTTTCTTCTTTTCATTAATTTATATACAGTAAGAAGGTATAATTTATATTCAACAACATTCACCCTGTTTAGTGTACAGCTCTGCAAGTTTTGATGAAAGAGCGCGAGCTCTGCTTGCTGATGGTGATTGTGTAATCACCATTATAATCAAATTATAGGACAGTTCCTCAAAATTCCTCCATGCCCCTCTGTTGCAATTTCTTCTCCCCCCTCCCAGCCCCTGGCAACTCCTGATCTGTTTTTTATTCCATTAGTTTTGCCTTTTCTAGAATGTCATGTAAATGGAATTATGCAGTATATAGCCTTCTCAGTCTAGCTTCTTTCACTTAGCATCATGCATTTTAGATTCATTTGTGATGTTGCATGTGTTAGCAATTTGTTCCTTGTTACTGCAGAGTATTATTCCATTGCATGAATATGTTACGGTTTGTTTATCCATACACAACTTGAAGGATAAATTATTTAGATTGTTTCTATTTTTTAGCAAATACAAATAAAAATCCCATAAACACATAAACCTGCATACAGGTTTTTGGGTGAACAAATGTTGTCATTTCTCTTGGGCGAATACCTATGAGAAGGATTGCTGAGTCGTTACGACAAGTATATATTTAATTTTATAAGAAACTGCCAGAATGTTTCCCAAAGTGGCTGCACCATTTTGCATTCCCAGCAGCAACGAATGAGACTTCTCGTTGCTCCACGTTCTCACCAGTACCTGTAAGATCAGGTGGTGGCAGTGGTGGTAGTGGTTTTGGTCATTACAATAGTGATATTTCATTGCGGTTTTAATGTTTATTTCCCTAGTGACTAATGGTTGTTGATCATCTTTTCACATGCTTCTCATCCATACCTATATCTCCTTTGGTGAGAATGTAATCTTTCACAATTAAATATGATGTTAAAGGTGTTTTTGTAGACTTCCTTTATCAAGTTAGAAAATTCCCTTCTATTCCTAGTTTGCTAAGAGTTTTTATAATGTGTATCAGATTTTGTCATAGGCTTTTTCTGCATCAGTTGAGATGATCATATTTTTTATTTCTTAGTCTGTTGATGTAGTGAATTACATTGATTTTAAAACGTCGAATCAGCCTTGCATTTTCAGGAAAAATTCCTCGTGGTCATGATGTATTACCCTTTTTTATATGCTGCTGGATTCAGTTTTCTGGTAATTTGTTGAGCACGTCTGTATTCACAGATTAGCCTGTAGTTTTCTTTTCTTGTGGTGTCTATGTCTGGTTTGGGTATCAGGGTGATGCTGGCCTCATAGAATGAGTTGAGGAGTATTTCCTCTTCTTCAGTTTTCTGGAAGAGTTTGGAATTTATATATTTCTTCCTTAAATGTTTGGTAGCATTTACTAATAAATCCCATCTGGGCCTGGAATTTTCTTTGGTTTATAACTAGACATACAATTTCTTTAATATAGGATTATCTCTTTCTTCTTGAATGAACTTTGGTAATTTATGTCTTTCAGAGAATTTATGCATTTTCATCTAGTATTCAAATTTATTGGCATAAACTTGATCATAATATTCCATTATTCTCCTTTTAATGTCTACAGGATCTGTAGTGATGATGTCTCTCCCCTCTCTCATTCCTAATATATTTGTCATTTGTCTGTTTATCCTGATCAAATTGGTTTGAGGTTTATCAGTTTTATTAATATTCTCAAAGAACCAGCTTTTGGGTTCATTGATTTTTCTGTTGTTTTTCTGTTTTCTATTTCATTGACTTCTGCTTTTATTTTTATTATTTCCTTTCTGCTCGCTTTGGGTTTGTTTTGTTCTTAATCTTCTAGCTTCTTAAGGTAGAAGTTTAGGTCATTGATTTGGGCTTAAGGTATTAATATTCTATGCATTTAGAGCTATAAACTTCCTTCTAAGCAATTTTTCCAATATGGTTAGAGGACATACTCTGAATCAGTTGAATCCTTTAAACTTACTGAGACATCTTCTGGACCAGAATATGGTTTATCTTGGTAAATACTCTGTGTGCATTTGGAAAAAATCTTGGGTAGGGTATCGTTTAGATCAAGTTGGTTGATAATGTTGTTCAAGTCTTAAATATCCTTGCTGATTTTCTGTCTACTTTTCCATCAGTGACTGAGAGACTATAACTCTAGTTTTATCTGTTTCTCCTTGTAGTTCTCTCAGTTTTTGTTTCATGTATTTCCAAGCTCTGTTATTAGGTGCATAAACATTCAGAATGTTATAGCAATGTGACGAACTGACCCCTTTAACATTATGAAATGATAATATTTGTTATCTTTGTTTCTGTAATATTCTTTGTGCTGAAATATATTTTGTCTGATATTAATGTAGCTATTCCAGCTTTCTTTTGATTAGTATTTAGCATAGTATAGTCGACCCTTGAACAACACGGGGGTCAAAAAACACAGTCAAAAATCCACGTGTAACTTTACATTCAGCCCTTTGTATCCGAGGTTCCACACCCGCAGATTTAACCAACCACAGACTGTGTAGTACTGTAGTAGTATTTAGAGGAAAAAAGTCAGCATATAAGTGGACCTACACAGCTTAAACCCATATTGTTCAAGGGTCCACTGTATATCATTTTTTATCCTTTTGCTTTTAAGCTGTTTGTCTCTTTATTTTATTTTTTAAATAAATCTAGATTTATTTTTTTAGTAAGTGTATTTCATTTATTTATTTGTTTATTTATTTATTTATTTAGGCTGTGTTGTGTCTTCATTGCTGCATGGGCTTTCTCTAGTTGCAGCGAGCGGGGGCTACTCTTTGTTGCGGTGCGTGGGTTTCTCATTGCGGTGGCTTCTCTTGTTGCAGAGCTCGGGCTCTAGAGCGCAGGCTCAGTAGTTGTGGCGCATGGGCTTAGTTGCCCCATGGCATGTGGGATCTTCCCAGACCAGGGATCGAACCCGTGTCCCCTGCATTGGCAGGCAGATTCTTAACCACTGTGCCACCAGGGAAGCCCCTGTCTCTTTATATTTTAAGTGTATTTCTTACAGGCAGTATTTAGTTAAATCTTGCTTTTTTATATAATCTGACTTTCTGTCTTTTTGGGTGGTGTTTAGACCATTTTTATATTTAATGAAATTATTGATATGGTTAGGTTTGAATCTGCCAATTTACTAGTATTTGTTTTCTGCTTGTCTCATCTGTTCTTGATTCTCTTTCTCTTTTTCTTCATTCTTTTGGATTGAATATTTCTTATTCCATTTTTATCTCCTTTATTCTTATTAGTTCTACTTGTGTGTGTGTGGTTTGTTTAGGGTTTATAGCATAACCTTTACCTTATTAATTACAGTTTACCTTCAAGTAATATATCAATTCACATATATTATAAGAACCTTACATTGTGTACTTCCATTTCCCCTCTCCTAGTCTTTCTGCTCTTTCTGTCATATGTTTTACTTCTACTTTTGTTATAAACCCCAGAATACATTGTTATAATTTTTACTTTAAACAGTTATTCTAAAGTAGTGTTTCTCCACTTCAGTATTATTGACATTTTGAGCCCGATGATTCTTTGTTGTTGTGGGGCAAGGAGGGGGGTGTTCTGTGCATTGTAGGATATTTAGCAGCACCCCTGGCCTGTACCCAATAAATGTCAATATCACCACCACTCCCAATCGTTACAAGCCAAAATGTCTCCTGGGGGCAAAATTTCCCCCATTGAGAACTACTGTTCTAAAGTGATTTTTAAAATAAGAAAAAGAAAATGTTTATATTTACTCACGTATTTGTCATTTCCAATACACTTCATTCTTTTATCCAGATTTCCATCTGGTAGTATCATTTTCTTCTGTTTCATGTAGTTCCTTTTACATTTCTTCTAGTGGTTGTCTTTTATTTGTGCGTCTGAAAATGTCTTTTTTGCACCTTTACTTTTGAAAGCTGTTCTCACTGGTTTAGAAATCCAGGTTGACAGTTTCTTCCTATCAGTACCTTAAAGATGTTGCTCCACTGTCTTCTGCATTGTTTCTGATGAGAACTCTGCTGTCATTCGTCCTTTGTTCCTCTGTAGGATATGTTGTTCTCTACTCCCCAAACCCCACCTTTATCCCTGGTTTTCAGCAATTTGATTTTGATGTGCCTCAGTTAAGTTTTTTTTTCTTGTTTTACTTACTGTTTGTTGAGCTTCTTGTATCTGTAGGTTATAGTTTTCATCAGATTTGAAATATTTCCATCCATTGATTCCTCAAAACTTTTTTCTGTCTCTCTTCTCTTTTGAAGACTCCAATCCCCCATGTGATGGGCTGCTTAAAGTCATCTCACCACTTAATGATGCCCTGGCTTTTAATTTTTCTCCTAGTCTTTTATTCATTTTAGACAATTTATGGGACACAGTTACATTACTTGGAAACAGTCTGATTAAGTGGAGAGACTCTGCAGGCCTCTAGAGCGCCCTGTGCAGCTCTCCTCCCATCAGTATATACTTTTCCTGTACTTTTCCTAGTGTTTTAGTTGTTACTCCATTTTTGCTCCATGTGGAAGTTCTCCTTGATAAATGTTTTGTGAATGAATGTGAACATATGCATTCATAATCTGGTGTTATTTCCCATGCCTCCTACTGTCTTTCTTTCACTACCATTTAAAAATAAAATCATCAGAAGAGTGGGGGAAAGCCATGAAGCATAAATATGTGCTTATCATTTTCCTTCACTCACAGAAATTAGTGATATAAATTAGCTGGGGTTAGTTTACCTATTCTTAATCTATGTGGAGTCATGAAGAAAGAGAGAAGACTGGATTAAGCAAATCTGAAAAAAACACAGCTGGGTTGGGCATGGAGAAGGAAAGATGAGTCAACTTAGCACAAAAGCATTCTTGCTTTGCAGGTTGTGTGTTGCAGCCCTGTCGGTGAATAACTTCCGTGACAACCGGGAGGCCCTGTATGGTGTATTTGATGGAGACCGGAACGTGGAGGTGCCCTACCTTCTCCAGTGTACCATGAGTGACATTTTGGCAGAAGAGCTGCAGAAAACAAAAAACGAAGAAGAATACATGGTCAATACGTTCATTGTTATGCAAAGGTAAAACTTAGAGCACCTGCCCTGTGTTTTCTTGCTCTTCTTTGAGTATTTGCCATCTGGTTAGAAAAACAGGTGTCCAGTAATCTCATCGTTGAACATGCGTTATTCAAGATGCATTCAGGCGATTTGGTTTTGCCCAAGTATCAGGGCTGGACTGTGTTCCGTTTGAGACACACTGATGTTCAGACGACTTCGTTGGAGGCCGAGTCAGTGACAGGAATTCAGTTTCTCCTAGAACTGGTCTCACAGGCCTGTCGTGATTCCAGATTTTCACCAGATTGTTTACGACACACTCCCCTCACCCCAAATCATGTGAGCGCCAGACGCTCTTTAGACCTTCTGGCGTGTGGATTGCTCTTTGCAATGGACTGTTTCCATCTCGGTTTGTTCCCCCTTACGGAACACTGTCACTGATTCGGGAAGTGCCAACCTTTGAGAACTTGAGATGGTCAAATTTTAGGCCAGGAGTTAAATCATTCTTCATATATTGTTTTTCCCCCTTCATTAAATGTTCAGACAGTGTTACTAGTAGAATCCTAGGCCATTCCCTGGAGCTTCTGGTCACTGTGGAAGTTGTGGAATGTTGTTTCTAACTCTGAGGGCTGCGTGTTATGAGCATTCCCACATTCGAAGAGTTGCTCGCTCTTTTGCCACTTTAAAGGCTTTGTAGGTTGTAAAGGAACTGCCTATTAATATTGTATTGCAGACACTTGCTCTTGTGGGACCAGGAAGTGGAGAGTGCTCTAAAGGTCATGGGAACAATGACTATCTTTTCTCTTTCTCTCCCTTTTCCCTGCCTTGATAATCTGCCAGAGGAAGTATCTTTGCAACAGGAGTAGAAAAAGTGTCTGCTAAGGAATGCTGGTCCAGAGAAGCCTTGAAAGTTCCCCTAAGCCATGAATACTCTTGAAGAGCTCAGTAGAGGCAAGCCCAGTGGGGTTCTTTGCTGCTCGACTCACCTGTCTTTCAGATTCTCAGTGGGCATGTGCAGTTAATAATTGACACTGATAACTAATATTTAGTGAGCCCTTAATATATACCAGTCATTGTTCTAAATACCTTAATGCCATAAGGTATAAGACAGGGACATCTATCTACACATCTCTCTACCTTTTTGTTTTGACCACCATCTTGTTTTAGGAAAAAAGCAAACACATTTCATACATACAGACACACATAACACACACACACACCCTTCACACACTCCTAAGCGGTCTGCTTTTTATAGACCCCCAAACACTGGATAAGAATTAAGAACCTCAAACTCTGATTACTAGCTGTACTTCTCACAAATACCATCCTAATTCTGGCTTTGCTGGGAGAAATCATTGTGCCTTTGACAGGAGGAAAGCAGTGCTGCCTTGGCAGGGCCTAAAGTCCAGTCTGGTCGTAGATGTGCAGAAGTTGGAGTTTAGAGACCCAGGTTGTCAGCCCATCTCTAGGTCATTTGCTTGCCTCTTATTTTCCCTGTTGGTTAACAGGATATGGGGTGTGTGGTGATCTTTTCAGTCCTCAGGAGAACTGTATGTTCTCTGTGCCTGACATCCTAATTTATATGAACAGGCAGCCCTGGTTTCCACCGCTAGTGGTGCCCCTCGCCTAACCTAGACAGGGTCTGCCCTTGTAAACAGGGGAGTCTGTCCACTCAGGATCCGTCTGGGAGGCACTGCCATCTGTGGGGCCTCTGATAAGAGTTCTCACCTCCTTTTGATTGTAAGAACTTGCAGGTGTCTTGTGTATTCAGTACGTGTATGGACTGATGGTGAATAAAAGCACTTTGGAGCTTCATTACTAGAATGTCCTTTCTGTGAATATTCTAGAATAGACATCACTCATCTAGAAAGTCTGCACTGTATAGGACAAGAACATGAATGGTCCAGTACTTGAAAGCATGTCCCCCCGAACATCCTAATAAAGAGAGAGGGTGGTCAGGTAATTCTGAAGTGTCAGTGGGTGTAGTGTGTTTACACCTGCTCCTGTTAAGTGGTCAGTCCGGCTGTCCTCTCTCGGGAGCAGAGGGGATTTAGAGAGGGGGATGAAGAAAGAAGCGGTCATTCCCCCTGTCTTTGGGGCACGCCGATTCGGGAGTGGCAGGCTGGATGCAGCAGGATAAGAGCTCCTTGATTCCACAGCAGCTCCTTGGGTCTTTCGTGGTGAAGTGACACCTGCCCCAGTTGTGAGCAGACACCTCTCCGTGTGTGTGTGTGTATGTGTGTGTCAGATTCCACAGGCTCTTTTCCTGAGTTGAGCAGTGCCTGCTTTGGTGAAAGAGGCCTGGTGGAGCCCCAAGTTCTGTTTTTCCTCCTAGCCCCGTCCAGGGGTACAGTCTGGCAAAACTACACGTGACAGGTGTGTGTGGGTTTTTACCCCGTCTCTCCGTTTTCCAGGAAGCTTGGAACTGCTGGGCAGAAACTTGGAGGTGCTGCTGTCCTTTGTCATATCAAGCATGACCCTGTGGACCCAGGAGGACCCTTCACCTTGACCTCTGCTAATGTGGGCAAGTGCCAAACGGTTCTGTGTCGGAACGGGAAGCCGCTGCCTCTGTCCAGGTCATACGTTATGAGCTGTGAGGAAGAACTGAAGAGAATCAAACGGCACAAGGCCATTATCACGGAGGTAAGGAAGAGGGATTTTCCTCAGGACGGGGGAGGATGGGGCCAGGGTCGTGGCAGAATCAGCCAGACAGCTTTTCCCACCAAAGGACGTTCTTTAAACATTGCAGTTGGTTTAAAATTAAAATTCCACATCCGGAGTAGCACAGAGCAAACTCTGCGTGTGATGTGTCTGGAGACGTTACAATATACAGAGTAATAAAATAGTTATCGACGGCCTCTCTGCATCGAGGGCTGTGCCACGGCACCGTCTCATCCTCACAGCCGCTCTTCGGAGGCACTTCGGCGGGGGGCTGAAGCCTCCAGCCCTGAAGTCACGCCGCTGGTCCTCCTGTCCTAGATCTGCAGCTTGCGGGCTACGACCTTGCAACCTTGAAGCCTCAGACTCGTCCTCCGTAAAGTGGGCATAGCCGTGTGTCTGTCCTGTCTTACAAGTCGAGTGTGCGCATCGGTGTACATGTAAGGAGGAGTTACTTTGGTTCATGCCATCTGCTCCACTTGAGTAAGGCAGTGAGCGGTTCTCAGCCAGGGGCCATCTCCCCCCGACAGGACACTTGCTAACGTCCGAGGACATTGTTGTTGTCACAACAGAAGCGCTTGGGGCATGCAGCAGGTAGAAGCCAGGGATGCTGCTAAGCACCCTACAGTGCACAGGACAGCCCCACAGCAAAGAATGGTTTGGCCCAAAATGTCAAGAGTGCTGCTGTTGAGAAACACGGGTGTCAGTCTGCGTGACAGAAGATTCCCTGTAGCACAGCTTCCAAAGTGGGCTGGAGGAATTGTGCTCCACTCACTAGCTCATCCTACAGTGTGGCTCACCTGCTGCGTACCTGAAACGTGATGTGGGCTACAGACGTGATCCCCGGAGACACACGTCTGCCCCCAGGAGGTGTCCAGTCTTGTGGATAAAACCCCTGGAAGCATGTGTAGCTCGGGTAGGCAGTGGTGAACGTTTGCAGCTCAGTAGAGAAGGACTGTGACTCCCGGTAGACTTTGACCAAGGGCCATGAGAAAGATAAAGACTCGGGCTCCACCACGAGGGTCTGGCAAAGGAGGCCGCGTGTAGATTTTAGTTCCCTGCTTGTTCTAAGAGCAGAGAGGATTAAAATGGACGCTAGACAGTCTCAGATGGGATTGAATGAAATTATTAAACGTATTGAATTAAATGTTCAACATGACACGATGCAAAGATTAACCGTTTCTGCTACATAAATGCGTCACAGTTGGTGCTTCAGAGGTTTCTCCTGCTTTCTCTGCCTCCCTCTTCCTCGCTTTGTCTGTATCGCTGCGTTGGTTTTCTTTAATTTCCCTGCCTTGAGGTATGCCCCCCCCCCCCACCAAACACACACACACAGACAAAATCATTGATTCTGATGTGGTGAGATCTTAAAGGGTTGGGCAGAACAGCGAGGGTAATTTTTGCCGAAATTCCACATTTTGGGGAAGAACAAATATATTAGGAGAATTAGGAGAGTTGAAAATTGTGCTTGAAGCCCTGCTTTAGTAATTTTACTTCGAATTGTGCTGCCTGCTTGTATGCGTGGCAGGATTGTCTGCGGAGCTGGGGGATGTACTCCCAAATGAAGGAACGTGGTAGGGTTGGGAAGGGAATGGGTATTCTCCGGAAGAAACACTTGCTTCGAGGGAGATGGTTTGACCATCACTATTCCCTCATCCCAGACACACATAAAAGTTGTCCGAATGGAGCCTCCTCTGGAAAAGGTGTTAAAAATAGGGGCATGTAGAGGCACGTCCTAGACCCGAGAACCTCAAACTTGAAGAATAAAGAACTGAGCAGGTACACCCTGGGGTTATCTCCCCTCCTCTCCTCCAGCTTCAGAGTAAAGGCTTTTTATTGGCAAGTGGTCTGAAACTTTGGTTCGTGGTTTAAGTGGCGTGAACTCGGCTGGACTGAAGCAGGAGACTTTGTCGTCTCCATTTGCTGCCAGGGAAGTGAGTTCAGGGAAGCGGTAGGACCTGGCACTTCTCCTTAAGCATCTACCTCTCCAAACACGATCAGCTGTACCCAGCTAGTCACCCCAAGATTTCCCCACCAATTGTTTTTAACCTTCTTACGTTTAAAACAGTGCCTCTCCCCTCACTTCTGGACCTTCAGACATTACCGCCCCTGATGGTTGATGTGCTTTGGGGAGTGACCTAAGATTCCGGGCGTTATCTGGAACGCCACCTGCCTCGGGGGCTGCGCCTCGGGCGCATTCAGCAAGGCTCTTCCTCTCGGGACCCCCGTGGGTTCCAGGAGGAGCTAATCAGCCATGTTGCTGTGTCAGATGATGGTCTGCTTTGGAGATAGACGGGTCCCAATAAAGGGAGTAACTGAGATACTTTCCATTTGTCCCTCCTGCTTCTTACCTGTCCCGGGCTTCTGCCCCAGGGTTCTGATGACAGGTGGACATGAACCACTCTCAGGAGGGTGGGCAGCCCCCCCGCCTGTGGACCACGTGTCACGCTCCGGTGGTCCCCCAGGCAGGAGGCCCCAGGGAAGCCGCACGTCGCCCCGCGTGCTCCGTGGTAACGTCTGTTTGGAAACCCCTCTTCTTCCAGGATGGCAAAGTGAACGGAGTGACCGAGTCCACGCGCATCCTGGGCTATACGTTCCTGCACCCCAGCGTGGTGCCCCGCCCCCACGTGCAGTCCGTGGCCCTGACCCCGCAGGACGAGTTCTTCATCCTGGGCAGCAAGGGCCTGTGGGACAGCCTGTCCGTTGAGGAGGCCGTGGGGGCCGTGCGCAACGTCCCCGACGCTCTGGCCGCCGCCAAGAAGCTGTGCACGCTGGCGCAGAGCTACGGCTGCCGCGACAGCGTCAGCGCCGTGGTGGTGCAGCTCAGCGTCCCCGAGGACAGCTTCTGCTGCTGCGAGCTCGGCGCCGGCGGGCCCGTGCCGCCGCCCAGCCCCGGCACCTTCCCGCCCTCCGTCAGCATGGTCATCAGGGAGCGGCCCGCCGACGGGCTGGGCGTGCCGTCATCCAGCAGCGGCCTGGCCTCGGAGATGAGCAGCGAGCTCTCCACGTCCGAGATGAGCAGCGAGGTGGGGTCCACGGCCTCGGACGAGCCCCCTCCGGGCGCCCTGAGCGAGAGCAGCCCCGCCTGCCCCAGCGAGCCGCGCTGCTCGCTGCACCCCGCCTGCCCGTCCAGCTCCTTCCAGCGCCAGCTGTCCAGCGCCACTTTCTCCAGCGCCTTCTCCGACAACGGCCTCGACAGCGATGACGAAGAGCCCATCGAGGGCGTCTTCACCAACGGCAGCCGGGTGGAGGTGGAGGTGGACATCCACTGCGGCCGCGCCAAGGAGAAGGAGAGGCAGCAGCCCCTGCTGCAGCTGCCGGCCGAGGCCAGCGACGAGGGCATCGTCATCATCGCCAACGAGGACGAGCCGGCCCTGCCCCGGAGGGCGGACTGTGCCGCCGTGGGGACCATGGGGCGCCGGAGGGCTAACGGCTCCGTGGCGCCCCAGGAACGGAGCCACAACGTGATAGAGGTGGCCACGGACGCGCCTCTCCGCAAGCCGGGGGGCTATTTTGCAGCCCCGGCTCAGCCGGATCCTGATGATCAGTTCATCATTCCCCCGGAGCTGGAGGAGGAGGTCAAAGAGATCATGAAACACCAGCAGCCGCCGCCGCCGCCGCCGCCACCGCCGCCGCCCTCACAGCTCCACGTGCAGCCGCCGCCGCGGCAGTGCCCGGGGGACCAGCTGCCAGACTGCTGTGACACACCGCTATGACCCACCCGCGCGCTGCTTAAAAATAAACTAACCAACAAAGGCTGAGTTGCCAGAGCCTCCCAGGCTCCCGTTAAACCAGGGGTTTACTCCACGCCCTTCTCCCAGACGCTTTCCCAGCCAGTCTTTGCAGCCAGTCTGTAGGTTCCCCTTCTGTTGGTCATTTTTTAATTACCACTTTTCTTCTCGTGATGCTGTACCAATATGATTTAAATTTGTTAACTTCTTCCCCTAACATATCAGATGTGTAAAGACAAAGAACAAAAGGTTTAATATATTACAGAGAAACAGTTAATGATAATGTAATACTTTTTAAAGTGGCTTTGTGTTGTTTTGTCTGTCTGGAAGGCAGGGCAGGTTGCCAGTGCTAAATGATTTAATAATACTGTAATTCTGTATTTCTTTGCGGGGGGTAGGGGGGGAAGACTTTTTTTTTTTTTTTTTTGTCTTGAAAATGATAGACATTTGTAGAATATGGAGACTAACTCCTAGGAGTTGCTTTACTCTGTCAGGTGACCTAAGTCACTGGATTCACTAATTTTCTCTGAGAGAACAGTTGATTGAAAAATTTCTATTGTAAATAGCTCAGTGTTGTATAGTGATGCTTCACATGTTTTGTAGTTTTGGCATAAGGGACTAAACAACTGACTTCCCTCCCCTCCCCCTCTGACACACCTTCCTGCCCACACCCCCTCATCCCCCCACCTTTCTAATTCATTGAATGATGAGCCTGAGCATTGCTGAGAGCATTGCTGTTCAAATAAGGTGGACCTTAGGCCACTGGAAACGAACCTGCACCCGAGGGGCCTCTGACCCTTTTTCTTCCTCTCCTGTTTCCACCCAGCCTCCTTTGTAGACACTTTTTAATTGTGTTCCTTACTGCTGCCACAATCAGCATGACTGTATAGAATTCAGTTAGATCATTTACATACCAAGAGTTATATTAAAGCAGAATGCACAAGTGAACATGTCATTTTTGTTATAATAAATATAAAATGTACAAGTATTGGACCCATCTGCTTTTGTCTCAAGAGCCAGATGTGTCTTGCAGATGCTCCCACCCAGCTTGGGTTTGGAATGAATGCATGTAACTTTGGGGTCGTCAGATACTTCCGACCTTGATCTTTTTTTAAGGGAAAATACCCAACAGGCTAACCTACATTGAACGAACGTAGTGAAATCAACCCTGTGGTTAACAATACGCGTAGCTGGTCTTACAGCCTTTCTGTTTCTTCTTGTTATTGTGTAGGGTAGACGGTAAAAGGGGAATAGATGAGGTTGCATAGAGGAGATCCCTGGAAAACTCCCACAAAGCCAAGTTGGTTTCCAGGTCTCTCAAGGCCCCCTCAATCACCTGAACATGTTAATAGATCTTTTTATAAAAATTGGAGTATGGTTGCTTAACAATGTACACCGGAGCTGGTTGCCTCGCTCTCTACCCCTAGCAGAAATAATGTCAGTGCAGTGGGGTCCACTAGGAAATCCCGTATTCCTAGCTGACTTACTGGCCCCATTTACAGACTCTAGTGCCCCACCCCTCCCCGCCGACCCTGCATCTTGTGAACCATGTTTTGGAGATGCTGTGGGTCTTCTCTCTTGTCTCATGTGGACTAGCTTCCCAGGTAGAATGGTTTTCCTTCTTCAGATCTACCCTCCAGTGGTACCTGGCTGGTTCAGTGACAGGACATGGCAACTGGTCTTTCTTGTAGATTCGGTAATGGGCTGTCCATCCCCTCGCTGGGTGGTCAGATCAGAGGACCCCCCCTTGTCTTGGTGACGTCCGTTCTTCATTCCGTGTCAGGCTACTTGTACGCTGTGTACTTTGAAAACCACTAAGGCTGTGGAAGGAGATTGAGTTCCTCTCAGCCCATAAGGGACCCAGTGACCAAGGGACTAGACTGCCCAAGCCCGGGCAGAGCTCTCTGCTCTAGAGCCGGAGCAAAACTATCTGAGGGTCCCTGCGCCCAGACCCACTCAGCAGCACCTTGCTGCCCTGTCGTCCCTCTGCTCCAAGTGGATCGGAGCAGACTTGGAAGGCTCTGGGTTTTCACCCCAGTGCCATAGTCACTACAGAAGATCTGGGCTGGCTCTCAGACCTCCTCGGTGCTTAAATCCCCTGTGGACAGGGCTCACCTGTTGCCTGGAGCGGGGTCTGCCCAGATGGTCAGTGCGAATCCGATTCCACAGCAGCTCCCTTCCAGAGGAGCCACCAACACTTCCGCCCTGAGCATGGCCAACAGAGGCAGCAATAATTTGAGGAGTCCACGATGGGTCCCACAGCAACTGCTTGTGCCAGGGACAGCTGCTGGGACCAGCAAGTCCCAAGTGGGGGCTCAGCTCACGTCCTAACGTGTGTGGCTGACTGGGAGAAGGGGCACAGGCTTGGCGCTGCTGTTTTCCTAAGGCCGCGAGTTCAGTGCTTGCTTGCTTCTCAGTTTCTTAGACCATTAAGTCACATTGAGCACACGCCGCATACAAGGCACTATGGAGATAAAGGACAAAACTGCCCTTTGGAAGCTTGGGGTAAATAGGCATGTGGGTCAAAAGTAAGAGATGAGCACATATTAAGCGGCTAAAGACGCGGAGACCTACTACTAGGCCTCCTTGCTCTTGCTTAGGAGTCTCCCAGTTATTGCCTGAGGAGGAGTTTCTTCTCACTTCTCAGCAAGGAAGCATCTAATAATGTATGCAGAACTGCTTATAAAACTGTGAAGTGCTTAATTGAAGATTCCTCAAAGCCACGGTGAGCATGAGGGGGAAGGGCATCCCTCAGCCCCGCCCCACACTGTCCTTCCTGCTGGGAAGGCCAGCGAATTGGGAGAGGGCTGGCGGGTGGGTGGGTAAGAGGCTGGAAGCTCTGACGGGGCTCGCAGCCTTGCTAATAGACTCAGAGCTCCCTACCGAGGGCCCTGGAGGTTGCTTGGTGTTGGATCAGCCACAGGCTGCCACGTGTGTGCCCACGGAATAGTGGCTTTCCGGAGGGCACCAGGGCCAGGCTCAGGAGCCCCGACTCCCAATCTGACCTGGTTTCTCTAGATTGCTTTTGTCACAGCACCACCTGCTGGTGAGATTAGATTTTGGGTGGAAATGGGCATGACTCTTGGTCTTTCTCCTGCCCCTCTTCCAAAAGAAAGTTTCAGTTACTTTCATTCCTAGACACCTGACAGAAAGCAATCTCCAGCACTATTAAGTAGTCAGAGAAATATTAGGGACACTGACGTGCAGACATATCAAGATGTGTAGCCGGAATCATAGCATCGACCTGGGAGAGAGGAAGTCAGTCTCCAACATCCAGTTCTCCATTCCCCATAGGGAAAAATAAATAAAAACCCCCTAATATGCCTTGGATCTAATAGGACAACATCAGCTCATTGCTGGCACTGCCCAACGGAGACAAAGCACAATTCCCATGCGAACACTCCTCAGAAGGCACTTTGAATTCACTCGGACACGTCAGGAAATAGAATTTTTGGACAGTGTGGGGTTTTTGTACAATGTGGTATCTGCCCTCCCTTCCTCCCCAGTGATCAAACCACCTAATTTGTAGATAGTAAAGCCTTATGTAAGTGGAAGTATTGTCATTGTTGTAAGTAAAGAACTAAGGGTGGTCAGATAGAAAATAATTGGGAACACAGAAAAAGTAGTTCTTTAAATTAAAAACTCCCAGAGAGGAAAAAAACCCAAAAACTCCTAGGAAACATCTGTTGGAACTGTTACAGGAGGGAGGGATGATGTCATGGTAGAAAAAATAGGTTTTCCTCATTTCTTGCCATTGAATTTCTTTTGCTTTCAGTTCATCCCCCCAAAATGCATTTTGTGCAAATGGATCTGTGCAAACTTTATTTCCCTATTGTTGTTCACCTGTTGTGAACTGATTCCTATTGCTGCGTCTTTGAAAGATGGCTCTCAAGGTTGTCCCCTCACCCCACCTTTACCAAAATCGCAACCAAGTTCAGACTTAGCTTGGCAGATCCACTGCCCTGATCAGTAACAAAGCAGGAACTACACCTAGCAGACGAAGCTTTGGGTGAGAGATAGGAAGCAAGCTCCACAGCCAACCTCACACCCACCCGATCCACCATGTCCATTCACGCCACGCGTTTAGGAAGCACCAGCCAGAGCCGCCAGTGTGCTCAGCTCTGGGTCCCCTGCCCAGGACCACAAATGCAGCGGGGCTTGGGTGCCACGGTAGCTGTGCTGACCTCCTGAGGTCTTGGTCTCAGCCAGTTGAGGGCAGACTACAGGCCCTACACGTTGCCCCCTGCCTTCTAGAAGACTAAGGTTGAACCTTGACAGGAAGAAAGGGCCCAAGGGGTCCCCAAGGCCGCCTTCCACTTTTCAGGCTGTGTGGTAAAGTAGAAAGCCACGCTGTCCCCTGCCCTGAATTTAAGGACCCATAAACAAGTGCTGCTTTTGTTGGGCTCCAGTTCATTAGTCCTTCCATTTTCTTCTAAATCAGAAACACAATGTTCTATCCTGTTCAGAGGGGGGAATGGCAGAACATGTGGAGAATTTTCTCCCGTCTGCTTATGACTAGCACTTCTCGCACTGTCATTCCTCTCTTCTTCTAAAGCCTTGGAAGTAAAACTGGCTTCAGGCTGAAATTTCAAGTACTTTCTAGTCATTACTATTTCTTAGGTCTTATTCCAATAAACTGAACTTCCCCCTAATTCCTAATCTTATCTATTGGAAGAAAGTTGAAATGGCAACTAAGATCATTTTCCCAAATGGCGCAACTCCAGCCGTTGCCTTTTCCTGAACTCATGTACAGGTCATTTGCCTTTCTGAGTCTTTAAGAAAACTGCTTTGCAGTTAACATTTGGAGGCTCTTTTTTTTTTTTTTTTTGATGTGGACCATTTTTAAAGTCTATTGAACTTGTTACAATGTTGCTTCTGTTTTATGGTTTGGTTTTTTGGCCCCGAGGCATGTGGGATCTTAGCTTCCCAACCAGGGATCGAACCCGCACCCCCTGCATTGGAAGGTGAAGTCTTAACCACTGGACCGCCAGGGAAGTCCCATCTGGAGGTTCTTAAGTCAGTTTTCCACTTAACAGAAATTGCCCTGTAACCCAGGAATAAATCATGCATGCAAAATAAAGTCTTTTGTTTGTATGATGGTCTACAATGCATCTTAAGAACTACTCAAATACTCCTTTTCCTAGAGCGTTTCAGTAGGTTAAAGATAGTTCATTGAAATGTGGCCCACCCCTGCTTATCCTAAGCACAATCACCCACACTTTTTCCTCAGGAGCTGAAACCACCATCTCTCACAGGTAAACCCACAGGACTTTTTTCCTGGAAACTTCATTGGGCATGTATTTCAATGCTGTCTGCATATAATTGGCATATACCCTTCATGTAAACATTTTTGAGTCCTCCAGCTTTCAAATTTAAAATCTCATCGTGATATTCCTTAGATTACAACGTGTTGGGTTTTGTCTTCACTCCTTTTCTGTTACCAACACATGTTCTAAGGGATGAGATGCTGAGTGTTGGGGAAAGAAAGGGCCATGGGCAGGAAAGCCCAAGCCCACCTCTGTGACCACAGTGGTGCCTCTCCTGTCCATTTCCATCCAGTCTGAGCATCGTGGGGCAGGAATGATCTCGAGAGTTCACCCAGTGCCCAATTCTAGGCAGAATCCAAACTGTTGCTCTGCTGAGTGGAATTTTCTTTCTTCCAAAGATGGAGGCTCTCTAACCTCCTTCATAAACTGTTGACCATCTACAGGCAGAAGTTGAGTCCCCACTCTGTGCATAAGTGCCGGGGTGGGTGGAGCACAGTGAGAGGCCCACAAGGATGAAAAACAAAGCACATTTTAAAAGGTCTGCTTCCCTGGTGGCGCAGTGGTTAAGAATCCGCCTCCCAATGCAGAGGACATGGGTTCGAGCCCTGGTCTGGGAAGATCCCACATGCCGCAGCGCAACTAAGCCTGTGCGCCACAACTACTGAGCCTGCGCTCTAGAGTCCGCGAGCCACAACTACTGAGCCCGTGTGCCACACCTACTGAAGCCCGCACACCTAGAGCCTGTGCTCCGCAACAAGAGAAGCCACCACAGTGAGAAGCCCACGCATTGCCACCAAGAGTAGCCCCCGCTCGCCGCAACAAGAGAAAGCCCGTGCGCGGCAACAAAGCCCCAATGCAGCCAAAAATAAATAAATTTTTAAAAAGATGACGCTACTACTGCAGAGACCCACATAACCAAGAACGCAGGGAGACGGGGTGGGTCTCCAGGTCTGAGGTCGCAAAGGACCAACCCCAAGCTCGGAATTCTCTTTAAATCCCAGCCCCACAGGGTGGTCACTGAGATCCAGCACTGTGAGTTCTTCCTGTCCACCAGTGGCCTTCAAACGTTTCTGTCGTGACTTCCTGAGGGATGCTACTGACTTCCCACCTCCAATGAACAAAGAAGGGGGAAGGGCCCACCTGCCACCAGCTGTTCCTCATTAACGCAGCTCGGATTCCTTCCTGCAATGGAGAGCCAGTAATAACCTTGACCGCTTCTACCCTAGAAGCCTTGCCACAAACAGAGCCTCTTCCAAGTGTGCTGAGCGCAGAGGGTGCAAGGACAGAGCAGACGGACCCTGGGCCTGCTTTTACAGAGCTTTGAAGACTCACTCTTGGGACGGAAAAGAACAGAAAGACCAATGCTCCTTTGCTCTGCCCATCAAACACCATCAAAACCATTTCCTAGCTGTTTTTCTCCAATAGGCAGGGTTTTATTTTGAGCAACTTTGAATTCTACACACCTGTGGAAGATGGACACAGCAGTTTTCTCTAGCACGCTGACCTCAGAGCTCCCTCTGCTTCACGTTTAATTCCTTTTCTGCAACCCATCCCCTGGTACCATACCTGAGATAAACACTCCCATTTGTTTAAATAAAAAAAAAAAATGTTTGCAGCCTTTTCCCCTCCACTCCAGCACACTGAGGATGGGCCTCACTCACTTGTGGAGGCACAAGGCTCTCCACATCCAGGGTTGAAGATGGGTCCCTTGGCCTCCACTGGAAATCCCTGACTTCCTTTTCGCTTCCAGCTGGGCCAGAAATAAAACCACTGGTTCATGCAGATGGGCACCCTGCCTACTGTTTGCAACTTCCAGCCGCCTCCATCCCTTCGGTCCTGGCCTCTGCCCCTCGCCCCTCCTCCCCATTCACGCCCTCCCTCCTGGCCATTCAGCTGCCCTGGTCTGGGTGCTGCTCACCACGGTCACCGTGGTGGGAGGGAGGATGGGGCTGGACGTTGCAGCAGCTGCCACAGCCGATCACTGCCGTGTTCAACCTCTCCGCTTTGGCCCCCAGCCCTCTTGCTTGGCCTTTGAGCCGGCTATAACTGCTGCTTCTCCGCCACATTTTGCAGGCTCTTCTGCCAGATCCTAAGAGTTGGGTTCCGCGCTCCTCCCTTCACCTCTCACTCTCACTCAAGGCTCGTCCAGGAGCGCTCATCGTCCCCCCCGCCCCGCCCATGTCCACACCGCCTCCTGGACACCTCCCTTGCAGGACTCAGGCGCCACAAACCCAACGTACCTCAAACCTGCACCTCCTGCAAGCCCGACGCTGGCAGAACCTGTCTTCGGTCACCAAGTCCTGTCAGTTCTACTTCCTAAAACCTCCTGGTGGAGGAGATGGACAATGAATAAGCAAATCTTTAAAAATGAACATGATTATTTCAGATGTAAAAAAAAAAAAGTGAAAAAAACAGAAGAGGAAAATGGAATCAAGAATGATATTTGACCTAAAACCTGATGAAAAGAAGACAGTTAAGATCTGGAGGCAGAGAATTTCAAGCAGAGGAAACTGCAAGGTCAAAACCCCGGGGTGGGGACCTAGAGTGTTGGGATATTAGGGGAGTGGCCCTTATCAGCTTCCCTCCTCCTTGCCCCGGCTCTGAACCAAAGGCGAAATAAGACAGCAATAAGCAGCAGGGGCAGAAAGGTCAACTTTACTGCTTAATGCTGACAGTAGAGAATGAGGGCTGTGTCCCTGTATGAGGGGGCTTCCGACTACGGAAACCCCTCAGCAGTCAGCCGCTAGGCGGAGGCGGAAGCCCTCAGGGCTCTGGGGCAGAGAGCGCCCCCTGGGGGCGGGGAGGAAGCTGAGAGCACGGCTCCTGAGGGGGGCGGGGCGCGGGCTGCGCATGCTCAGTGTGTCCTCTCAGACTCTCGCGAGAGAGCGCTGGCGCCGCCCTGTAAGAAGGGTCCCGGGGCTTCGTGGTTAGAGGTCGGGAACCCAGGCCTGGAGGGTGTGAGGTGAGGCCGCAGACCTCCGCCAAGGCCAGGGGCTTGAGAGCGCTCTCGTCTTCCAGGAGGTTGGCACAAGGCAGGTGCTTAGTAAACAGTTTCTCAAGGGTCCTCACGCTCAGGCGCCGTCCCCTCGGCCTGAGCCCTCCAGCCACCGACGCGCACCTGTGCGGCTCGCGCCGCGGCCTCTGGGCCCCATTCCTTCGTTTCCCGTGCGTTGCAATCACCGTAAATGTCCACCCAGTAATGGACGAAAATCCCAATGCGCCTGATTTCAAACATTTGGAAACTGCCTCCTGTAAGTCCTCTCACACTGGTCACGGTTGGGGTCCGGGGTTTTGATTGGGAATTTGTGGCCCCAGCGCTGTGTCCCTGAGTCGGGACTGGCCTGGGTGGCTTTTGAGGAGCACAGGGACTCGGCCTCTACTGGACAGGGAGTCACTCTTCCCCAGGCCCCTGAGACTGAGGTGTGTGGGCGGCGGCGGGAGGAGGAGAATCACCGGAAGTTCAGGATTATCACCCACTCTCCCCAAGAGACCCCCAGGAGGTCCGCTCAGCCTCCAGGTGTGGGAGCCGCTGACTCCTGCCTGGCCCCGGGGACTTGAGAGCAGGAGGGAAGAGCTTTTTAAGCCAGGGCCGAAATGCAGCCTTCCTCTGGGTGGCTTTGGGCTTGTGGATTGATTTATTTCCTCCTCTCCTTCTGTTTTGCAGCGCTTTTACCCAGGGTTGTGAGAAAGAAATTCAAGGGTGCCCGCCGTGGTGATCTCTCTGACGGAGTGAGAACCAGAACTAACTACGAGTTTTTGATACTCAGCAAAATGTTACTTTCCTCCCTGGATTGGTGAACATGACTCGTGTTAATTCAGCTATTGGCAGGAGCTGCATGGTGGCACGGGGCACTACGGTTTCGCTGGTCTGCAGAGTCCCTTCCCTTCTGTGCAGAGAGACCCCTCCCCTGTTTGAGTCCTGCTGTTGGCCCTTCAAGCGGCAGCGCGTTGACACAGGTATGAGGTGGAACCCTTTTCATATGTTTGGGTGTACTAGACATTGGCTGCATCCCCACATTTCCTCTGGTTGAACTTAATAGAGTGGCGCTGTGAGAGGTGCCTGGTGAGCTGCTCCCACCCACCCACTCCAGGGTCACCTGCCCAGGGTGTGTTTGTGAATTTCCTAGGGACGGATGACTTTGGCCGTGGTTAGGCATTCCCCTGTATCTCTCTATTTTAAATTGCTTATTTGGCCCAGGACAGGCCATTTCACATCCTCAGTGATCAATAAATATTAAGTAAATTATCCAAAACCAAATGGAAACCGCAGTCTGGATAATGAGCTGATTTATGCCTTTAATGAATCTCAGCCATTGTCACCACGGTGAGCAGCATTGGGAATTTGCTTCTCTCATGTCATTCTTCACATGACATGAGCCGAAGACAGATTGGAACAGGCACCGTTCGGGGGTTTTCTCAGGGAGCAGGACTCTTCCCAGCAGATGAAATGCTTGTGGCCTGGTTGCATAATATTCCACTGGGACCACCGCTGGGCCCCAGGGGAAGGTGTGTGGGCAAAGCTGGCGCC